TGCGACATTTTGGTTCGCAGCCCGCGCTCAATCCACTGAGCTACGCCCGCCAGGGCCATATTTGAGTTTTATTTTATAACCTAGTTTCAGCCTTTCTCTTTTTTTTGAAAAAAATTATTTTATTTTCTTTTTTTATACTCATCTGAGGGCATTTTTTTTTCTTCATTTCTTTGAAAGAGAGAGGATGGGAGAGAGAAAAACATCAATGCTAGAAGAAAAACATGGATTGGTTGCTTCCTGTGTGTGTCTGGACCCAGGTTCATACGCACATGGACTGGGGACAGAACCCACAGCCTAGGGCATGTGCCCTGCCTGACCAGCATCAAGCCTATGACCTTTGGGTTACGGGATGATGCTCCAATGAACTGAGCCACTGGGTCAGGACAATACTAATTGTAGTTTTAAAAATTAGTAATAACAACTATAAAATTAGTCACCTGAGAAATAAAATAAGTTTTTCTTATACTTTAAATATATATACTTGTCTTTTTAGAAGAAAACAGTTTCATTTATTTTTATCATCTGTGCTTTAGAATTGGAGGAATTGATCTGTTTGTGGTGATTTTATCATTTGGGGTGTTTCATTATATTTTATTTGTGGAGTTTCTTTTCTTTCTTTTAAAAATATGTTTTCTATATGACCATAGATTTTTATACCATAGTGTCTTAGCATTTTCAGTAAAACCAAAGTAGATGGTGTTTTCCACATTTTTAGAACACACTTAAGAAATGTTTAGGTCAAAATCTGATGGTATGCTAATTTTCCCAGCAGTCAGTTCAGATACTTCAAATAATTCTGGAGATAGCCGTATTTCAGAAATAAATTCTTAACTGTACTCAGGTTTTGAAAAAAATTGCACTAAAGTCAGTATAATACAGAAGTGCGTCCTTGTATTGATTTAACAGATGAGCTGGTTTAGAATTGTTTTTAGACATGGAAAGATAATTATTTGCCAAGATGAGTTAGAAAAAGCCTTATGTCTGATAAAATATCAACAAGACTTTTTTTTTAAGTAAATGAAATCACAGCTGTAAACTTAATAATACTTTTCAACCCAGTTAAAAAATAGATTATTGAAATTTGTAGTAATTTTAGAGTCCTGTGTTTTATTACAGATTTACTGTTTACTGCTGGCAATTTAAATTTATAATATTATATTCAAGCCCTGGCTGGCGTAGCTGAGTGGATTGAGCGCGGGCTTGTGAACCAGTGTCGCAGGTTCGATTCCCAGCCAGGGTACATTCCTGGGTTGCAGGCCATAACCCCCAGCAACCGCACAGTGATGTTTCTCTCTCTCTCTCTATCTCTCTCCCTTCCCTCTCCAAACATAAATAAATAAAATTTAAAAAAAAATATTATATTCAAAATTTTACTGAAAAATTGCCTTTGAGGTGTTTCTGGATACTCATAAAAATTCTGAAGTGAACATCAGAGTTAACAATAAAAATAGATTAGCACAGATAATTGGTTTTTTAACTAGCCGTAAACATGATTGAAAAAATAAGTCAGCATTTCCTTCTATGTCCCTATATTTTTGTTATTCTTTTCACACTCAAATGATTATTTCTAAGAATGATGTAACCATTTCTGTATCATTTTAATAGTAGGTGCTTATTAAGTAAATATAGGCACCCTCTTTCAAACAAAGTTTGACATACTAGTGATTAGTATTGAAAATAATTTCAGTGGTACTGTTTTGATTTTTAGTTGTATTTTCCATTGCTTTGGTTAGGCATCAGAATTGCCCTAGAAAAGCAGGCAGGTATTATGATGATGTTTGTCACCATGTTTCCCTGTCTGTCTGAATTTCAACTTGCTCTCTAACTCGTTTTGCAGATGTTCATTTTGCTCAAACAAGTCTGTAGCTAGTGGCAGCAGACAGCCAGAACAGGAGTAAGATTCTTAGGAAAGTTAATCGTCAAAAACCCTGCTTTCCCTTCCTCTCTCTTCTCTTTTCTCTTTATCCTTCCTTAATGGTGAAACTATATGATATATTTTAAAGTTATACAAATTATAGTTTGTTGAAAACTGTGAGTAAAATTTAATAAAATTATCACCCAAAGTGATTAATGGGTATACTTTTGTTTCTTTGCTTGTTTTTTAAAATGCTAAATTGATTACATTATTACAGTTAATAATAGGCTATAGACACTTTCTTGGCTTTCTTCCAATTAATAATAAATAATTCAATAAGCAAAAAATAAAATGGGAACTTGAAACACTCTGGAAGGAGTTCAGAATGTTTAAATAAAATAAGTTAAATGTATTTCATTAGTGTAGACAGTTTTCAAAATAAGAATCTTTAAATATCTTTCAGTAGATAGATGTTTAGAACTTTTCTCAGTGTTTTTCTTGTTTCCTAGAAGTATAAGCATGGAACAAAGAGCAAGTTTTTAAAAAGTCAAGAGTCCATAAAGATTTAAACAGCCATTAGTTTGCCTTGTTAATGCTCTAAAACGAAATTCCAAAGTAGGAGCTTTGGCCAGATAGGACAGATGTCAACTATTCTGGTTAGGTGTTCTTTTCACTATTTGCTTGTATTTTTAAATTTAATAATTTTGAATTTTTTAAATAATTTTTAAAGTAAAACATTGGTATTCTATCTTCCCTCTTTGTAAAGTTCAAACCTGAATTGGTGGAAAATGTTAAATTGAGGTAATAAATGCCCACCAAATATGTTCTTTTATTGGTTTTAAATAATAGATACAGAAAACTAATAAGGTTAAATAGATATTTTCTGCTATTTAGTAAGTAAAAATCACTTGTAATGTTAGGGTACTCTGTTTCAGTTAGATCCCAGTCTGCTTTTGAACACAAGATAAAATTGAAATGGTAAATATTTTGTTACTATGTAATAAAAAGATGACTTTCAAATCCAGGTTCTAAATTAGTGAATTTGAAACTGGTAGGGTTTTCCTCTTTAGGTCAATTTTCAGAATTGATATAGGCATCCCAAAGAAAATATCCTGTTAGAATTGATTGTCCTATGTATTTGCATGCTGCATTCATTTTGCTCAATTGAAAACATTCATATTTTGTTATTACCAGCCAAAACAAATAGACAAGATTGCTTCCATCTACTATAGTATCACCATATTTTCATGGACATTTGAAAACTATCTGACAGAATAGTTAGCATTGGACTAATTGGTTTTCTGAAAATATTAACTTATTAGCTGTACAGTAAAACTAGTTTTCTCTTTGGTATCTATCTTGACTGTTGATTTTGTTTCATAAAATTCAGAAATGTATTTAGTGCTTACTAGTTAATGCAAAAGGCTTTTGCCATTGCTTGATACGGCAAGTATGCATTTAATAGATCTAGCTCTACATCCACCCCACCCTAAAAAAAGATCTATCCCTAGTCAGTGACTCAGTTGGTTGGAGCATTGTCCCATACACCAAAAAGGTTGTGGGTTCAATTCCCAGGCAGGGTACGTACTCCTAGGTTGCAGGTTTGATCCCCAGTCAGGGAATATGCAAGAGGCAGCCAATCTGTCTCTATCCCTCCCCTTCCTGTCTCTCTAAAAATCTATAAACAGCCCTGGCTGGTGTGGCTCAATGAATTGAGCACTGGGCTGCGAACCAAAGGGTCACTGGTTCTATTCCCAGTCATGGTACTTGCATGGGTTTCAGGCCAGGTCCCCAGTGGGGGGCGCTCCAGGAGCAGCCACACATTAGTGTCTCTCTTCCTCTCTTCCTCCCTTCCCCATCTCTAAAAATAAGTAAAGTCTTTAAAAAAAATAAAAAATCAATAAATATGTCCTCGGGTAATTTTTTAAAAGTGTACTTCTTGTATTATAAATGCTGTCAAAAACTTTGGGTTCCCGGATTTTTATTTTTAAAACATGTTTTAAAGAAGTAGTTTTTGCAAATAGTCCAGTTAAAAGGGTAAAGGACCTGAATAGACTTTTTTCCAAAGAGGATATACAGATGCCAATAGACATGTGAAAAGATGCTCAGTGTCACTGGTCATCAGATAAATGCAAATTAAAATCACAATGAGATATCACCTCACACCTGTCTGAATGGCTATCAATAAATCCACTAATAAATCAATAAACAGCAAGTGCTGATGAGAATGTGGAGAAAGAGGAACTCTACTGTACTGTTGGTGGGTATGCAGATTGGTGTAGCCACTGTGGAAAGCAGTGTGGAGATACTGCAAAGAATTAAAAATTGATCTTTTAGCCCTGGCTGGCGTAGCTCAGTGGATTGAGCATGGGCTGCGAACCAAAGCTTTGCAGGTTCGATTCCCAGTCAGGGCACATGCCTGCGTTGCAGGCCACAGCCCCCAGCAACTGCACATTGATGTTTCTTTCTCTCTCTCTTTCTCCCTCCTTTCCCTCTCTAAAAAGATAAATTTAAAAAATCTTTTAAAAAATCTTTAAAAATAAAATAAATAAAATAAAAATTGATCTTTTGATCCAGTGATCCCATTTCTGGGAATATATCCAAATAACCAAAAACATTAATTCAAAAGAACAGAAGCACCCCTATGTTCATTGCAGCATTATTTACAATCATCAAGACATGGAAGCAGCCCAAGTGTCCATTAATAGATGAGTGGATGAAACAACTACAGGACATTTACACAGTGGAATACTACTTGGCTGTAAAAATAAAATTTTACCCTTTGCCACAGCATGGATGGACCTGGAGAACATTATGCTAAGTGAAATAAGCCAGTCAGAGAAAGACAAATACCATATGATTTCACTTATATGTGGAATCTAATGAACAAATTAAACTAACAAGTGAAATAGAGACAGACTCAGAGAGAGCAGGATGACAGCTGTTGGGAGGGGGTGTGGGGGTGGAGGAATCAAGCACAAAGCAAAAAGGATTCATAGACATGGACAACAGTGTGGTGATGACGGGGTTTTAGTGGGGAGGGGAGTATAAGGGTGTTAAATGGTAATGGAAAAACACCGTAAAAATTTTTTTTAAAGATTCAAAATTAACATAGTGACCAGGTTATTATCATTTTGTTTTTCAGGAGATGATTTTTCTTTGATTCAACAAGAAATATTTATGGTTAAAGAATGTAAACATTGCAACATTGTTGCCTACTTTGGAAGCTATCTCAGGTAAAACATAAAAAAGCTTCTGTGTTCTCTTTGTATATTATGTCTGCTATCATTCTCCCTTTCTTGTTAGTGTTATATGTATACATTTTTAAAATTATAGGCCTACAGTTCTAAAATTTCTTAGGTTTTCTTATTGTTTCCCATTATATTAATAGTGACACCTCCATTTATGCAGTTATACCTTATCTGGCAACCTTAATGAACTATTATGAATGTTACAAGTAGGTGTTTCAGCTTATAAAAGTGGTCATATTCTAAACAATGAATACTTTTTACTACTTCTAAACAATGTAAGATGGGAAAAAAGCTGAAAGTCACTATGTGTTTCTGTAGCTTGAGGAGAGACTGCCATACCCCAGTAAATTGGAAAAAAGAGAGAGACACTGCCTGGGTAATTTCCTGCTGTACTCTGCAGTCCATCGTAAATCTTGGTATGCTGAAGAGTGAAAGCCTTCAGAGCATGTCAGTGGTCAAGAATTACTAGCTAATGTACTTTTCTTTCTCTTTCGTATTAGTCGGGAAAAACTGTGGATTTGTATGGAATACTGTGGTGGCGGATCACTTCAAGATATTTACCATGGTACTATTAATTTGCCTTTATATTTTAAGATTCACTTTGGATTTAATGGTTGTTGTTTGACATGTCTAGTTAACCGAGAATATTAATAAGTAGATTGACTGTTTTGCCTTCTTCTGTTCTGTTCCTGGAGTATTGCATAAAAGACATCTAAATTTAATTTTTTGTTGGTTATTCAGTTAAATTTGCTGGAGCCTGAACTGAGAAATTCAAGAGTACTTGAACAGTCCATTTTTTTACTTTTTAGATGTACTTCTTTAGAAAAATATTTCATCTACAGATGATACTGCCTAAACTTCCATGTAAATAAATAAGAATTGAAATGCAAGGGTAACTCAAAAAGGAAATTATATATCTGTCTTTATAATAATTTAACCTGCTATCTAGGAAAGCAATTTAGTTGTTATAATATTTTTATATTAAAATGCATAATTTTAAAAAATATGGAGTATTTTATTTCACATTGTTAACTTAGGCAGTTTTTTTAGTTAAATTTTATTTTGCCTTAAATAGTATTTAGAAATAATTTTCATTTTGGTTCTACAGCTTAGCTTCCAATTTGTTTTATTGTTGGCAATTTCTTGAATTCTAGAGTTTATGAGACTATGCATAATCCTTATGAAATAACTTTTCTTTATTTCACTGGATATAGAATAGTAAAACTCCTATTGCATCTGTGCATTGTATAATTTATTATGTATTTTTAAATATATACAAAGTATTTTTAAACATTTCTCTGCTGAAATCTCTATATTAAGAGCCTTATGAAGTAAGTTCCATTTATATTGACCTGGGCATATCTCCCCAAGAACCTTTTTTAATGGGAAAAATGAGTCATGGAAAAATTTGTGTAACATAATCAATCATACTTAAACTTTTTAAAAGTATACATATGAATATAAATTCACATGAAAATAAAAGGATACATATCAAATCAATAAGTCATTACCTCTAGGGAGGAAAACATTCATAAGTAAAAGGTTGAATTACAACAAAAATGTATTGGTATATTATTTAATTATACATTAGTAAATATGTAGTTATCTAATTTTGTTCCAACAAATAACCCATGATAAAAAGGTTGTGATGTCTAAATTCTCTCAGGTCACTGCCCCTTTATTTAAAATAATATTTAATACCACATACATATTATAAATATGCAAAAGGATGTTTAAAGAAAGAACTGATCTTTTGTTTTAAAAAAGAAAAATAAGTTGTATTTCCTTATTTAATAGTCTTTTGTTTTGCTAGGTATTATATCATACTAGAATGACTGTTCTCTTTCATTTCACCATAGTGTTGATTTTAAAGAATTATTGGTAGGAAATAGCTCTATGCCACTGAGATTTAAGTCTTTTCCATGATTTTATGAAGACTTATGATCTTTTATATAGTTTTTATCAGTAATTATAATTTTTATTCATTTATACTTTTACAGAATGAGAACTGAAGAATATGGATAAATAAAACTATATAGTTGACATTTTTTACTACTTCTTGTGTCAAACTTATAGAATATTTTGAGACATTAATTTTATTTCTTCATGAAATTTCTAAGTTCCTTTAGTAAAACTTGATATTTGTTTAATTAAATTGAATCTAAGAAATATATATTATTTACAGAAGTATTCTTATAAATACTTGTATATATTATTTAGCATAGTAATCAAGAACATCTATACTTATAATAAACTGTTAGCAAAGTGACTTTTCTTCTTTTACTACTATTCCATCAACTTACTACGAATCAAAAGTTTATGTTCCTGAGTAGGTGTAGAAAGCCAGTGATTAAAATATGCAGTAAAATATTTTTCTTAAGTAAGGATTGCATGTAAGGACCTCATTTAGTTTCACTGTCAGCAAACACCACCCCAGATTTCAAATATTCTCTCAGGGTATTAGACATATTTCCAAAGCCTCTGGTTGGGTACTTGCAAAAAGATTTTGTGTTTCATCATAGGGAATGATCTGGTTGCCAAAAGTGATCTACTTGCTTTTTAAATTCTTAGATAAGGTACTGGATCAAGCCTCTCTGTTTTGGTAGCTATAGTAAAGAAATATACTGTATCTTCACCTTTTAAAAAGTATATGATTTCTTTCAGCACATTTCAATAACCAGTGTCTTTATAGTCCTCGACTTGTCTATATAGCTGTATTTAATTATATGTTTTTCTCATTTCTTTGCTTTGTTTTTTTTTTTTTTAATCCTCTCCTGGGGATATGTTTTATTGGTTTTAGAGAGAGAGGAAAGAGAAAAAGAGAAACATCAATTGATTGCCTCCCATACATGCCCTGACTGGGGGTCAAACCTGCAACTTAGTTATATGAGTCCTTACCAGGGATCAAATGCAGTCTTTTGGTGTATGGGATAATGCTCCAACCAACTGAGCCACCCAGCCAGGGCTCTTGCTTTATTTCTGAAAAGTTGTTCAAGATTTAGATCATGTTCATTGCTTTCTGTAGAACAGCCTGTGATGCTTAGTAATGTGCTTTGCACATTAGGGGTGCTTAATATTTTCACTGACCAAAGTTGTTATGGAGTAAATTTTTCATTTTTAAAGTACATTTCTAATTCTCATCTTTTCTTGTTATTTTCTGATCACAGTGATAATTTATGTTCATGATGAGAAGTCACCCAATGACATATACAGAAGTTGTTTTATAATAGTTTGTCATTTTAAAAGTAGACTGTTTTTAATCTGTCATATTCAAATGTATTACAATGTGGTCTTTCTTTTTTTTCTTTCTAGTTACTGGACCATTATCAGAATTGCAAATAGCCTATGTATGCAGAGAAACTTTGCAGGTACTACATTTGCTTATGTAGCTAAAAATGCAGTTCTGATTTCACAATTAATAACTATAAAATGGGGATTCACCCAAAAGAGTAAACCAAATTTTTCTGTTAACTTCTCATATTGTAATTCTGTAAGCCTAGTTACTTCTTTCATGAATGATTCACAGGAATTCATTTAAGCCAATACTGGTGTACACAGTAGTCTTTTTCCATTTCTCCCCAAAAGAAAATAAATTAGTATAATGATAACCCAGAAAGGTATCTCAAAATCATAGTTCTATGTGATATTAATAAGAGTCACTGGAAGCAGAATCTTTTTTATGAGCTTGGTAAACATTGTATTAAGCAAGGATTTTTGTATTCCTTTATTTCAGATCTGTGAGAGTTTGAGAGCGTTTTAGTGTGTTGAAGTAGGTTGTGAATCTTTATAGGAATAAAGAGTATGCAGCATTTCTCCCAATTTGCTTATTTTTTTCAGTGTCCTGAAAGACTTTTCATTGAGGAAAATGAATAATTAAAAAATTATTTTGTTCATATATTCTAAGGCATTTAAATTAGGAAGAGGGATTAAGTTGTAGTGCTTGTGTTTTTTTTATTTTGGTAATTTGCAACAGATAATTGTTAATTGATGTTTCTCTCCCTGCATTTCCTAGATGATGCAGTTTGTTCAGAAGTAAACTTGATGTTCTATATATTCTCTCACATTTTAGAAACTGAGAGATTGACCTGATTTCAGAGAAAGCTTTAGTCATTTTGAAAAGAGTTGGTTTCTGCATGCTTTAGAAGATATACCATGTCATTCTTATTATTAGATATATAAAAGTTTCTCTCATATATATATATATATCTCATATATAGTCACACACATATATATATACACACCTGAGTACATATAATTTATTTATATATATAATTTCTTAATATTCACATAACATAGAAATTTCTTTGTATCCACATGGAATATAAAGCTAATCATACACTCATAGCAGAGAATTATTGACAGATTTAATTTTTTTACATTTTAATTTCCAAAGTTCATTGCTTGTATAGGTAATGGACAGAGGACAGAATGGAAACAAAAACCTGGGCTTGTATTCTGGCCCTGGTATATGACCATAATGTCTTCTACATTTTTATTTCCCCAAGGATAAAATGACTGTTTGGAAAGGGTGACCTCCACGATTAGTTCCAGTTTTAAAATTCTGTTATGTTCACAAACTTCCACATCTGGTGTCTGCCAACAGACAAATGGTAAAGAAGGTGTGATACACACACATGTGCATGCACATATGTAATGGAATATGTTATTCAGCAATAAAAAAGGGAATCCTGTCATTTGTGCCAACACAGTTAAATCTGGAGGACATTCTGCTAAGTGAAATAAGCCAGGCACAGAAAGACAAGTACTACATTTTTTGTAGAATCTAGTTGAACTCACAGATGCAGAAATAAGAATGGTATTACCAGGGACTGGGTGAAGACAGGGGAGAGAAATAGAGAGACGTTGTCAGAGAGTATGAAGTTGAAGTCATATAGATTGACTGATTACTAATGCATAGCATGATGACAGTAGTTAATAATACTGTATTAAATAGTAAAAATATGCTAAGAGAATAGTGCTGTCATTACAAAAAAACATAGCAAGTGTGTGAGGAGATGTAACTACTTGAAGTAATCATTTCATTGCATATGTATATCAACTCATGTTGTACACCTTAAATATATACAAAAGTTTGTTAAGTAAGTTTTTTGAAAAGAAAAAGGGACAGAGATTGTCAGAATGGAAAAAAGCAAAACCCAACTAGTTGCTGCCTATGAGAAAATACTTTTATAAAGACAAATAGGTTGAAAGTAAAAGAAAAGAAATAGATATACCATACTAACTATTCAAAACAAAGCCAGAGTGACCATACTGATATTAGACAAAGTAGACTTCAGAGCAAAGACTATTACTAAAGAAGGTCATTTCATCAAAAGACATAACAATCTTAAATGTTTATGTTCCTAATAAAACACAGCTTCAAAATAAGTGAGCAAAAACCAGTAGAGCTGCAAGGAGAAATAGATTAATGTACAGTTCAATACCGCTCTCCCAATACTTTTGCAGAACAAATAGGCAGAAATTCAGTAAGAATATAGAAGACTTAAACAACACAATCAACCAATTACTGAAATTTTAGTCCAACAGCAGTGGGATACATGTGCTTTTCAAGTGCCCACTGAGCATTTACCAACATAGACCATATTTGGGGCCATAAAATATGTTTCAATACATTTAAAAGGATTTAAGTAATACAAAATAATATTCTCTGATCACATGCAATTAAATTAGAAATTAACAAGTATTTCTGGAAAACCTTAAAAAATGTGGAAACTAAAGCACTGAAAAGTAACCTATGGGTCAAATCAAAAGAGAAACTAAAAAGTATTTTGAACCAAATGAAATGAAAACACAACACATCAAAATTTGGGATGCTGCTAAGGCAATACTTAGAAGGAAGATTATAACACTAAAGAGGGATTTAACCTCTTGTAGAAAGAAAGGTCTGATATCAGTATCCTCAATTTCTACCTTAAGAAACTATATAAAGATGAGCAAGTTAAATACAAAGTATCAGAGAAAGAAAATAACGAGTGGAAATCAGTTAAATAGAAAGCAGAAAAACATGAGAAAATTGATGAAACAAAAATATGATTTTTGAGATCAATAAAATTAATAAGCCTCTAGCCAGATTGATCAAGAAAAATAAAAGAAGACATAAATTACTACAATATTGTGATATAATCTACAAATATTAAGAGGATGACCAGGATAATTAGTACCTAAGGAATTTTAAGAACAGCTTATGCCAATAAAGCCTACAACTTAGCCCTCCCTGACGGGTATGGCTGAATTAGTTGGGCATGGTTTTGCAAAGCCAAAGGTTGCCGGTTCTATTCCCAGTTAGGGCACATGCCTGGGTTACCATTTCGTCCCCTAGTCAGGACATATATTAGAGGCAGCAGATAGATGTTTCTCTTCTTCTCTTTCTCTCTCCCTCCCCCTTCTCTAAAAAATAAATAAAGCCTTTTTTTTTAAAAAGCCCACAACTTAGGTAAAATAGACAATTTCCTTGAGAGACATAAACTGCCAAAGCTCACTCAATTAGAAATCATCTTAATAGTCTATATATATTCCCATAGATAAATCTGCAAACTAGATAATGTCATAGATAAGTTCTATCAAGCATTTAAGAAAGAAATAATGCCAGTTCTACGTAAACTCTTCTAGAAAACTGAAGACTAGAGAATACCTCCCAGATCATTTTAGGGGCCAGCACTGATCTGAAGCCAAAATCAGACATTACAAGAGAAAAAAATTACAGATCAATATCCTTCATAAACATAAAAAGGAAATTAAATGGTTAACAAAGGTAATCCAACATTATATTTAAAAAATAATACTTCATGAACAAGGTGGGGAGGGTGTTCCCCTAGAATGCAGTATTGTTTTAACATTGAAAGATCATTTCAAGTAATTGTCCACATTAGCAAACAAAAAGAAAAAACACATGATCATCTAGAGAGAAAAAGCATTTAACAAAATCCAACATTCATTTGTGATAATAATTCTTAGCATACTGGGAATAGAACAGAACTTGTTTAGCCTCACAAAGAGCACCTATGAAAAACCTACAGCTGAGTAATCAATAGTAAAGACTAGATGCTTTCCCACCAAGGTCCGTCAAACAAGGCAGGGTATCTGCTCTCACCACTTCTTTTCAACATTGTGCTAGAGACTTTGGCTATTGCAAAAAGAAAAAAAAGATAAAATAAAATGCATACATATTAGAAAGTAAGAAATGAATAGTCCTTATTCACAATCTATACAATTAACTATCTAGAAAATGGAAAAGAATTTACAAAGTGGCTACTAGAGCTAGTAAGTATAGCTAGAAAGGTTGCAGGATTCAAGATCAATATACAAAATCAATTGGATATCTATACACTAGCATCAGACATTCAGAAATTAAAATTTAAAAAATACCTCTGACAGTAATAAAAATATGACATTCTCAGGGATATTCATGTATCACAAAAGATGCATAAACACCTGTGTACTGAAAACTATAAAACTGCTGAGAAAAATTAAAGAAGACCTATAAAAAGGGCGGGGGACTATGCTGTATTCATAGACTAGAAAATTCAATATAGTAGGGTGGTAGATCTTCTAAAACTGACCTATAGATTCAATGCAGTTTCAATCAAGGAAGCTTTTGTTCTATAGAAATTCACAAAGCTGATTCTAAAATCCCTGTGAAAATAGAAAGGACCTGGAATAGTCAAACAAAAAGAATAAAATTTGGAGTCTACAGTAGCAATTTGAAAACTTATAAAACCACTAATCAAATCATAGTGGCATTGGCATAAAGGGTAGATAAGTAGTTCAGTGGAATAGAATAGAAAGACCAGAAATAAGTCCATATACAGACAAGTGATTTTGACTGAGGTGTGAAAGATAATTCAGTGGGGAAAGAATAGGCTTTTCAATACATGGTACTGGAATAATTGGATGTCCATATGCAAGCAAATGAATTTCCTGCCATACTTCACACCATATATAAAAATCTCATAAACCTAAATGTAAAACCTAAAACTAGAAATTCTGGAAGAGAACATAGGCAAAAATATGTAGTCTTGAGTTAAGCAAAGCCTTTTCAGACATAACATGAGAAGCATGACACATAAAAGAAAAACTTGGTAAATTAGACTTTGTCAAACCTAAAAACTCTACTCTTCAAGAAGCACTGTTAAGAGACTAAAAGGACAAACTGCAGACTAAAAGAAGAAATTTGCAAATAGTATATCTGATCAAGGACTTGTATCTAGAGTATATACAGAACTGTCAAACTTGATAATAAGACAACAGCAACCCATTAAGCAAATGAGACAAGATTTAACGAGACACCTCATCAAAGAAGACAGATAGATGGAAAAGATGCTCATCATCATTAGTTATTAGAAAAGTGTGTAATTAAAACCACAGTGTGATACCACTACACACCAATTAGAATGGTTATGATTTAAAAGACTGACATTAGGAAGGTTGGTGAGGATGTGGATTAACAGGAATTCTCGTAACACTCCTGGTTTCAATGTAAAACAGTACAGCAGCTTTGGAAACCAGTTTGACAGTCACCAGAAGTTTAACTTGCACCACCATATGATCCAGTTGTTATATTGCTATGTATTTACCCAAGTGGGAAAAATCATATGATTGTACTTGAACTTCGTAGCACCTTTATTTGTAATAGCCAAAAACTGGAAACAACCCAAATGTCTGTCAACAGGTGAATGGATAAACAAATTTTGGTATATCTGTATGACAGACTACTACTCAGTAATAACAAAGCATGAACTATATTGATACATTGACAAGGACTGTCACGTTAATTATTGTGAAATATCCAGACAAAAACAATGCACTGTATGATTTCTTTTATATAAAATTCTAGAAAAGTCAGAATAATCTATAGTTATAGAACGTAGATCAGCATCAGTGGCTGTTAATATCACTAAGAGACAGCCAGGTGTGTAATTTCTAATGGACATCAGCAGTCTGAATTTTAGTTCCATAGGACTCTCTTTCCAGGCTTCTAAGTATTAATAATTCCAGCGTCTTCTCTCCCTTGCTCCCCTATGTCCCAGAGTTTTGGTAGCAGCTTTCTTTATTGCTGCTAGTGTAATTCTTTAGTGCTCTCCTTGTTCCTTTTTAGTTCTGTAGTTCAAAATGTTTTTAGTCTCTCCCAACTGGACTCTTATACAGCACCACCCATGAAGTAACTTTGCCAAAATAATGTAATCTTGAATTTCATCAAGAACTTAGATATAAGTGCTCATTTACTGGTAATACAGAAGGTCAAGGAACATGTAAAACATCATCAGTGGGATGTAACTGGCAAAATTCAAATACTGGGAGACTGCACAGGATAACAGCACTTTCTTTAACAAAAACTTACAAGGAAAAAGTAATAAAATGGCAGAGGATCCTATAGATTAAAAGGAGTAGGAGTCATGTCCACATATCGCAGCATACAAACTTCGGATCCCATTTTAAACAATCGTGAACACTGGATATTTGATCATATTAAAGAATTGTTTATCATGAGGCATAATAATATTATTGTGGTTATGTGTTTTTTAGAAAGTCACTGCCTTAGCGAATGAAATTATATTAAATATGGGGCTTAAAAATAATATGGTGGTGGAGGGGAAATGTGTAGTGAGTAAAGATGAAACATGATTGGCCATGGTTTCACAATTGTTAAGTGTAGGTGTTGGGTATGTAGGTATTCATTGTGTTGTTATTCAGCCTTTATATGTGAATTTTGTATAATAAAAGATATTTTAATGACAAGGAAGATTAGTGTTTATATGTGGGGAGAACTTTTGAGAGCAATGGATATGTTCATTTTCTTCGTTGTGGCAATGGCATTATAGTAAAATATTTCTGATTTTTATCAGAAAATGAATTTGAAATCTTACAGTATTGTAAACATTGACTAGTAAAAAGAAACTCAGCTAGGGTTTCCCTCTAAGAAACAGACATTTGCATTTTTCTTATTCAGTAAGAATTCTAGTAGAAAATTTAGGTGTCAAGTTTCCAGTTTTGCTAATGCTACCTTTTTGTTTCTTTTTAACTGTAGGGTCTTGCCTATTTGCATACTAAAGGCAAAATGCATAGAGATATCAAAGTAAGTTTATTTAGTATGTTTAAATTGATAGTATTGGAAGGAATTTTATGATGCTAATTAGTGTTTGTATTTTTGTCTTAGGGTGCAAATATTTTATTGACAGATCATGGTGATGTGAAATTAGGTATGTTATTTCAAGTTTCTAACATTTTTTCCAAATTTTAATAAAATGTAAATTTAACATTATACAAGTTTAAGAGTCATATCAAGAGCCACAGTAATGTTCACTTTTTGACCCAGTAATTTTACTTTTAGAGACACAGTTTAAGGAGATCAATCCTAAAGATTATAAAATCCTTATTTATAGATGTATGAATCATAACATTTATATATAATAGAAAAATTAGAATATAGTTCCAGCTTTAGAAAAACTATTAAGTTGTGATAAATCCACTTAAGGAACATTATTCAGTCATCAAAATTAATAGTTAAGAAGAGTAAGAGTAAAATCCCCTGGTCTATTAAGTGACAAAATGAACTATACATGTATTTAGTTTTTTGCAACTAAGTGTAGCAACAACAATAAAAAGTTTATACATAGAAAAAAGAACTTTTTGCTGGGCCGAAGCCCACCTCCCTCCTTCCCACCAGGATGCACTAAAAAAAAAACACAAACAACTTTTTAATAATAGCACCAAAGTATATACTAATCTGGTTCCATTAGAATAAAAGGAATTCAGGTGGGTAGGTTTTGTTTTTTTGTTTTGTTTTGGGTTTTTTTTTTCCAAATTAACTTTAATGTGCTTATAATAAAAATATTTTTATTAACTTTGTTCTTAATAAAGTACATATTTACTCTAGTAAAGTGCTAGTATTATTTTCTTTTATTAAGTGTGTTATAAACCAAGCAAGTAGAGATTTAGGTATTCAATTTTTATACACTTTCCTAGTATTACAATCTGAATTATTAGTAATGCCATACGTAAGGGTGATACTTAGAAATGTAAGTGCTTTAACTGAAAAGAACTAAAATTTTCTGTTCTATTTTTTCCCCACCAGCTGACTTTGGTGTAGCTGCAAAAATAACAGCTACCATTGCAAAGAGAAAATCTTTCATTGGCACCCCTTATTGGTAAGACATAATTGTGACTAAATTTTGTGCATTTTCATTTCTTTATAAATTGTGAAGGCTTGCATATGCCTTGATACTATCATAGTTCTAATTGGGTTGGAAACTTTGATACTCATTTTTATTGTCCAGCGTTTCCTATGTTAAAGTGCTAATACTTTCTATCATCTCAGGGGTCTTGTGTTGAGAGCTGTCATTGGTATGAGATTTTCAAAAGAAAGACTCATATTACATAATCTTTTGTCATTTTGTTATTCTTGGTTTTGGTATTGCTTCTACTTTAATCTAGAACTTTGCTCTCTGGTTGTTGAAACTCATGCATCCTACCCTACCATTCGTCTTCACCAGCCACCCTCCTCTTAATGCATCCTTCCAATTACTGACCAAATAATCTTCCTAAAACACTGCTTTTATTAATGAAGACAGATAATTGAAATATAATAGAAAACCTAGTAGTAAATTTCAATATGTAAAATCATTTAGTGAATATTATAAACAGTCCCATTTAAAGGTTGATGAAAGGTTGAATTTTTTATTATTTGGAAAGAAATTTAAGTAACTCCATACCTCATAATAATATCATTATACATTGTATATGGAAATAGTCAATTATAAAAGTAAAACCAAAAGAAATATCAGTGACTATCTGCTTTAAAAGTTGAATAAGTCTTTTTTGGAATAAGAGCATAAAATATAAGAGAAAATTTGGTAGATTCAACTGCATGAAAATTTAAAGCTATTATATGTCCACCAGCTGAAAAGGGAAAGGCAGGTTACAAACCAGGAATTAGTAGCTAAAATATGCATGGCAATCTAGGTTTTAATCTTTAAATCAGTAAAAAGAATGTTCCTTAGAAACAGTTATTAAAATAATACATATAAGATGTCATAAAATATGAAAACTGTTTCCCCCAATGATGACCAAAAATGCAAATTAAATAAACAGTGACATTCTATTATCCAAGAAAATATTTGGAATCCTGGATAATACCTATGACTAGCACTAAATATTTGACAATGAAAGTAGAAATTGGTAGAACAGTTTTGAAAGATAATTTGGCAATAATATTTTTCAAAAACCTTAAGTAATGTTTATGTTCTAGTCTCAGTTCTGCTTGTATTAATTTATCAAAGAGACATAGAGATTTATATATTAAGAGCTTTATCAAATACTTTATGAAAAATGGAGTATATGCATATGGAAAGTTAGATAAGGAAATTATGTACATTTGTTCAAAGCAATGTAATAAAATTGCTGGTCTTAAAAATCCTGTTATAAAAGATGAATGGTCAGTGGATAGGCTTATGACATAATGATAATAAAAAAAGATTAAAAATAGCATATGCAGTATAATATCATTTTTATAAAAGACATGTATGTGGGTGAAAGTATGTGAAACAGTGGTTCTCTTTGAGTGGGATAATCTTTAACTTGTTTTCTTCCATATTTTTCCTATATTCCAAAATCTCTTCAGTCAACAAATACTACTTTTTAAGAAAAATATTTATTTTTAGAGATAGGGGAAGGGATGGAGAAAGATAAGGAAAGAAACATCAATAGGTCGCTTCTTGCATGCCTGCAACTGGGGACCTTGCCTGAAATCCAGGCATATGCCCTGACTGGGAATTGAACTGTGACCTTTCAGTTCGCAGGCCAGCACGCAATCCGCTGAGCCACACCTGCCAGGGCAGCACATATCACTTTGAACAGAAGAAAAGCCCCAATAAATATTTAAATAAAGTTAAAAGAAAACATATATTGTCTGCGCTATCTATAAAATTCCATTCATCGCATGCCTATTTCCCTCCTCAGTCTCTTTCCTGTGACTCTCCTCCCTTGTGAACACTCTTCTTAGTCAAAATTATCACTTTTTTCTTCCCTCACTATTCTAGATACTAGTTATTAGCTCCCTAGTATATGTGTCTTCCATGCTTATCTTAAGTTCTATTCTGTCTGAAGAGTGGCACACATTCTGCCTTACTTCATCCATGGGGGACTCACTGGTCACATCTCTGACCTGAATGGGGACTTAGGTGTTCTTTTCACATTTTATATAACAAGGTTCTCATAACAGAAACTAAGTAAGACAGCTTGATTTTTCCTCAGAGCACTAGTATTCAGAGGAGAAGATTTAAGATTTTTAAATAAATGTAAAGAGTGTGTGTCTCTATATGTATGAGGTCTTTATAAGTCTTTTCTAGTAAAGTTTCTTCTTTCTCAGTAAATGCCTCTCAGCTGCTTTTCCTCCAAGAAGTCTAGTAAATATAACAAAAGTAGCAGATTTTATATCATTTCTAAAAAGTAAAAATGATATATTCACTGATTCCTTCTAGGATGGCCCCAGAAGTTGCAGCAGTAGAAAAGAATGGTGGTTACAACCAACTCTGTGATATCTGGGCAGTAGGAATAACAGCAATTGAACTTGGAGAACTTCAGCCACCTATGTTTGATCTTCATCCAATGAGGTGTTCTCACTGTTTACAATTATGCAGTTATTAATAGGTCTTATTGGAGAATGAGATACCAAAAACCTAGGTATTCTAAGTTCATTATCAAGTATGGTAAAATACTAGAGGAACTTAAGGATAATCTCATCTAAACCCCGCCCTGCCCCAATCTTGTGTTGCTATTCTAAAACAATTGGGAGCGAATAGTCTATACTGTCTGAAGTCTTTTTAAGTTTTTACATTGATTCTTCCATCAATTGAACTTGTTTCTTTTTTGGGTTTTAAGTAGAATTATAAACAAAGGATAGAATACAGATTAGATTATTTATTCTTTCATCATGGTGGGGTTTTTTTCCCCCACTTTCTTTTACTTTCACTTTTTCTTTTTTTTTTTAACCTCTTTCTAGGGACAAAGAGGTAGTTATACTTCGTGTAATTATCATTTGCGTTTTAGGATAAATTGCTTCTCAGAAAAAGAGAGACTTCTAAAGAGTTTTTAATATTTTGAAGGAAAATATAAATTGGCTAAAATTTAAACTTTTAAATTTAAAGTTAAAAAAATCAACAGAAGGGGGAACTTGTTCTCATATCATAGACAGAATGATATATATTGTATAAGGAATTTATTCAGAGACTTTATAGGCAAAATATAGGTTGTTTATGAGCAAGTATCAGATACTAAAGAACATGGAACACTATTTGACCTCACAAGTAACTGAAGTTATTCAAGTTAAGAGATATCCACATTTAGGTAGAATGCCAATAAGTATAGACTCCTAGGAAAATAATTTATACATTATTTGTTATTGGCCATCCAAATGTTTCAGTGATTTCACTACTTAGAAAATTATACTTTGGAAATAATTTAAGAAAAAAATTAAGAATTATCCATTTCAGGTTAACAGGGAAAAATCTAAATGTCTAATAGTTGATAAATTGGTAAGCAAATTATTTTAGCAAGTAAGGACAACTATTGTATACATATATAAACCAAAGCAACATGGAAACTTGATTATTAGTTTTAAAAAAGGCAGAACATAATACTACCTACTACAATGATGTACTAATTGGTTATTTATTAAGATAAAGACTAAAAAGAAGACCAGAACATTTAAAATAATGTTTTGGGGTTGTAGGAATATAGACCTTTATTTCTGTTTGAATTTTCCTTTGCATATGAATCATTTCATTTTTAAAAGGAGAAAATATCTTTGGTATTAAAAAAAGACTAAGGAGTTTGCCTAGAAACCTTGAAGGGTTTTATAGGAAATAGTAAAATAGAGTATTTTAGAACTTCCTTCTTAAACCCTCCATTTTTCTGCCCCTATAGTCCATAGAAAATGGATTATAGGTAGATTCCTAGAGAAAGTAAGTCCTCTTCTAGGTTGACTTCTGTATTATTCATGAGAGAATGTGGAAAATTATTGTCCAAAAGGGAAAACAGACTATGAAGTGAATATGATTTTCCTATACACCCAGAATAATTGTAGAGGCAAATCTTCAGTTAAACGTACAACCTGTATACAGAATGATAGACAACTATATAGATTTTTACTTAAGATATAATACTAGTTATATATATAACAGTATAGTAGCAAAACCCTTCTCGAACATTTAGTAGCTTTGCTGTGTGAATTAGAGCTTGTTTGAAATTTAAAGATCCTTTCTCTAGCCAGGAGAAATTTTCCATAGGCTTTCTAAAAATTAAAAAAAATTTAATTTTCATATTTCATACAAGTTTTCATCATTGCCTATATATGTAGTAATCTTATATAAATTTATTATAGAATATTCATTCTGATTGTTAGATGTAGTAATAAAAGTATTTTGGTATTGCTCTTTAACTGAAATATTTATTTCAGGGCCCTCTTCTTAATGTCAAAAAGTAATTTTCAGCCCCCGAAACTAAAGGACAAAACAAAATGGTAAGTTAAATAATATGTAGATTTGTCCAGTTTTACAGTTGGAAAGGGAAACAGGTTTAATTCTCTTATTTTATAGAAGATGAAACTGAAGCCCAGAGCCTTTAAACAGCTGCTTCACCTGAAGTTACACATTAATGTACTTGAGAGCTATGGCAAGGATGTAGGTTTTTCTGGTAGTGTTCCTTTATAATGTGTTACTCTTTTAAAAAACTCTGATCATATTCTTATGTCTGCCAGCTTGGGTAAAAGGTGTGGTGAGGAAAGGATTTGAAATAAAAACATTAAGATTTTGGAGATTTCATATTTTTGCCCTATACTTTACTGTCATTAATTACATGGTAACTGTTATGGAAGATGATATGAAAAGGTTCCCAGATACCATGACACTTAAAATCTACCTTCCTTCCTTAATATTTAAAAGGGTTATTACTTAATTTTTATTCTAATCTCTTCTTTTTGTACAGAGTAAAGCAGTTTGAATAGTCTTATGGTTCATACAGATGTTTTCAGTTGAATGATAAAAATTGAAAATTGTTTTTCTGGTAATGTCTTCCCATACATTTAATTTTTTTAAAAAACTGCAAATAAGTTTCTAAGTTTTTAAATTAAGTAATCTTTCATCTAGATTGAAAGGTTGAGGGTTGATGGGCCCCCAATATTCTGTACATATGTATATTCATTTTTCTGGTGAGATAGTTCATATCTTATTTCAGATTCTAAGAGGCCCATTCCCAAAACAGGTTCTAAACTACTGTGTAATTTTTTTTATTTGATCTTTATTGTATTTTTTTTTCCATTACCATTTAGTCCCCTTCTGTGCATAGTATTACTTAGGAGTCAGGCCATTCTGGGGATGATGCTAGACGTGAAAGGCAGATCACACTGTGGAAATAAAGGAGCTTATATTCTGCTAGCTGTATTTCTTTGTATTAACTTGGGCTTCTTCCTATTCCTTGTTACCCCAAGTTTTTAAGTAACTGATAGTGGAGGGCTTTTTGGCAGGAATGACTGAATATTCATTCAGGAATGAGTGACTATTAGCTGTAACCACTGAGTTCACAATCACAATCCAGAAAAGTCATACCATTGGAGTACCTTTGCCAATTTCAGGCACTTTATGACTCCATGTTGTCTTCTCCACAAGTCACCAAATATAATGCAGTGATGTGATTTCTCTGAAGAGAACTGCTATGTGTTTGCTGTCATTGCTAATGACTAAGGTTATTCTCTTCGGTTCTTACTCAGTCCCTCCAGTGGAATTTTGGCTTGTAATTAATAATCCAAACATGATTTATATCTTTGAGTTATATCTTTTTATTTTCCCCATTTTATTAATGCAGAGGGCAGGAAAACTCTTCTGGTTGCTAAAATCACTCCTTCTTCCTTGCCCTTGTTTTGTAACAAATTTGGTGACTTTTAAGGACTTTAAATAGTCTTTTACATTTCCACACTATTCTCCATGCCATTCATCTCTTTTAGTATAGCAAAATATTTACATTCTACATAAATTAGACATTGAGAAAAGGTCATTTTGATTACTTAATAGAATTCCTGAAACACAAGATTATGCATCCTGTAAATGATACAACTATGCATTTCTACTTTTTAGTGTATTTTTTTAGAGCTCCTATATTACTGTTCTCTTAACTAATTGCATTTTACTTAAGAAATGAAACTGGTACATGTTTTCAAGGAATACACTGTGCTTTGGATTTAGTTTTTGGCATATGTAGACCTAAGAGGCCTAAAGGAAAACAAACTCATGTGTCTTAGACTTTCTAACTACTTGTAAGTTAACTTTATTTAGAAACACCAAAACACTAATATTAGTGAAATATTTATTTTTATACATGTCTCTTTTTATTTGAAGGTCATCAACATTCCATAATTTTGTCAAAATAGCACTAACCAAAAACCCCAAAAAAAGACCAACTGCTGAAAGACTTCTGACTGTAAGTCATTGAAATTATAGAGGAATTTCCCATAGTTATACCTTAATTAGGCATATCACTAGAACAAAAGTATTTAGGTTTTTTAATATAAAAATGTTAGTGATCTCTTGTAGCAGGGGTCAGCAAACTTTCTGTAAGGAGCCCAATAGTAAATATTTTAGGCTTTGTGGGCCATATAGCCTTTGTAACAACTACTCAGCTTTGCCCTTTAAACACAAAAGTAGCCATAGACAATACATACAAATGGGTATGGCTTGACTACCCAAACAAATTTTATTTACAAAAAGAGGCAGTGTACCAGATTTTACCTATGGGCTATATGTAGTTTGCCAAACCCTGCCTTAGAAAAAACTGTTAAAAATGTAACTGTCATATAAAATTAATTGCTTTTCTTGACTTCTTTAAATTTATAGAATGCTTTGTGTGTATATGTGTTGGCTAAATACTTTTATAATACAAAAAAGCAATGATTAGAGCAGCCTAAAAAAACTTTATTGAAATGTCTGATTTTCATTGTATGTCTTTGTACATTAACATAATTTTATCAGTATAATGATAGGAATAATGAATGTCATTGTTATAGCCAAGGTTTTAATTCTACACCTAATATATTCATGTTATAAACTTACCCCACAGAGGTTCTTTAGTTTTATAATATATAATTATGGATTCTCTGATTAATATTTTTGTTAATATATTCTGTAATTTATTTGTATTAGTAGGCTTCCATATGTTTGTCTCTGATATTTACTGAGTGGAAAAATACAAACACCATTTCTGTAAGCCATAGAGGCAAAGGCATACTCATGATGTTGATTTGTTTTGTTTTTATTTAGCATACTTTTGTAGGACAGTCAGGTCTGTCTAGGGCCCTAGCAGTTGAACTTTTGGACAAAGTGAACAATCCAGATAACCATGCACATTACCCCGAAGGAGACGATGATGACTTTGAGGTATTTGCAATCTAATATTAAAATAAATGTTTAACATGGCCTTACAGTTTGTTTTGTAATTTTTTCTTTTAAGTTAATTAAAACAGATTTAGCTACAAATATTAATTAGCAATGTAAACTGCACTTATCTTGAATATAATTACCAGTTGATACTTCTTTTTAAAATTGTATAATATGCATAACCTAATCATTTCTTAGTCCTCGTTCTTTCCAGGGCTTTGTAGCTTTTTTATTACACAGGTCATTAACAAAATACAAATGATTTTAAAAAATTAAGTTGAAGTTCCCATAGAACATTTGTCCTTTCCAGTACTGATTCAGAACTATTATTTCTTATATAATTGCAAGTAGGGCTATGTATAACTATGAATATGCTTTCCTTCTCTGAAAATATTGTCACGGAAAATACTGAATTATTTTGAATATATCATTTAATAATATAACTGGTAAATCAGGAATGAGGTACACTGCCCATAGGTGTGTACCTTTTTTATGCCTGTATATAACTATATGTTTTTTTCACCAGTCTTATCCACTTCTTTGATTCTTGTTTGTTTTTGTGTTTCTTGGAATTTATCCCTTCATTTCTCTTTATGCTTTATTTCTTTTTTGTATCTCTATATTTATTTTTGACAAGACTATAAAACTAAACTTTGCATTATTACTTACTAAAGGAAATTTTCAACTTCAAGTTTTTAAGTTTTAAATTATACCATTTAAATATCATGATAACTACTAACACTTGTTGGGTAGGCATTGTATGCCAAGTATTAGGCCAAATAATTTCCATATTAACTCATCTAATATTCAGAACAACCCTTTGCAATAGATATCATTACTGTTCCCATTTTACAAATGAGAAAGTGAAGAAGAAAGAATAGACGTAATATGGCCAAGATCATATGGCTAGTAAGTAGTGGAACCAGGATTTCAATCCAAGCAAACTAACTCTAGAGCCTATTCTTTTAGTTAATACACCATCATTTCTATGTATGACCTTAATAGAAATAGTCATTAAACAATCTTTAAAAACTAATCTTTGAAAATGAATAATTGCTTCATATAGCATAGTTTTATCACAGGTACCCTATGACTGTTTCATTGAAGGTTAAATGAATAGTTGAAAATATTAACTAAATCAGCCATACATAGGTAGTTTTTACTTAAAAATTATTTGTAGACTTGTAGTAATTCATAATAATTTACTCTTAAAAATTCAAAAATTATTAAAATTGTTTTACTTTGAATATATGTAATTTGCTATTATTTAACTCCCTAATTAGTCTTTCACTGGGTACGTAAATAACAAAACTTATCTTTTATTCCCTGTACTATTTTGCTTGGCTTCCCAAATCCACTCTACAACCGTGATAACTGTTACAAACTGGAAAACATAGGGACAAGAAAGGACTCACTTTAGAAGTGATATGTATACTGAAAACCTGAAAGATAAATTGGAAATAGAGGAAGAGAGGAGGTAAAGTGCTTTGAGCAGAGGGAATAATAGTATGTTTGAAAGTCTGGTGATAAGAGAGAAGGCAATGAATTTGAGGAACTGAAGATAAATTAGTCTTTTTAGAGCAGAAAACAAGGAAGGAAGTGGTGAGAAATGAAGTTACAGAGCTAGGCACTAGCCAATTTCAAACCACGTTGAAAATTTTAGGCTTTAGTCTAAGGGCAATAGAACCATTAAAGGGTAAGGGAGTCCCATAATCAAATAGGCATTTTAAGATCTTTATGACTTTAGAATGGTAATTCCATTCCAGAAAACCTGTTAAGGGTCTATTGAAGTTATCAAGAATAGATATAGTAATGTTTTAGACTAGGGTGGTAGAGCAAAGATAGAGAAAAGTAGACTAATTCAAGATATACATTAGAGATTTGGTGATTGGATGAAGACATGAGGGGTGGGGAGTAAGTAAAGGATTATTCCAGATTTTGACTCAGCTGGGTGACTACAAAGTACCATTTATTGAGTGTGGAGAAGGTACATTGTAGTGAGTTTATGGGTTAAATGACTAGAGAAGTGTTTTGAGCAAGCTGAAGCCTCAGAGTAGATAAATTTTCAGTGTGTTCTCTACTGTGTAATTTTCTACCAGCAGTCATTGGTATCCCAGATGCAAACACAAAGGTAGCTACTTTAATTCATCCAGGGTTGTCATTTTGGCATGCCAGTGTAATGAAGGACAGTAAAGCAAAGGGAATTTAGTATATTGGCAAGGGATTGCTTGAAATTGTGGTCAACCATATATAAAGTGGATAGGAAGAAAAGTGAAGATAGGAGAAATGTTAATGGAGAGTGAAAAAGTAATTGATCGATGAACTTGAGATTCTAATATGAATGTTTAACAATTTTAATGAAAATAAATAAAGAATGAGCTCAAAAGGATGAGGAGTTTGGACTATAGTTCGAATTTGTATATCAGAGCTGATGACAGGGTCCAGGGTGTGATCTAAGGAGTAGAGAGTGCACTGAAGTATGGAAAAAGGTCTTTAGAGATGAGGTCAGAAAACTTAAGTCCAGAACAATGGGATTTTGAAGTCTGTTGGTATGATGGTGGATCTTGAAGTAGAGAAAAAACATGAGCTGCCGTCTGAGTCATCAATGAATGAGGAGTCACCAGAAATTTAGTAGACAGGGGTTGAGCTGAAGGCATAATTTCAAAAGGATCAGGAACTTGTACAAGAGAGTGGAAATAGTATGCTTCTCATTTACTTAGTGAGTAATATTCTTACTTAGTCTCCCTGTATCCAGTGTTTCTTCCTTCCATGCCCCCTTACACAGTTATAAGATGACTCTGGTGATGCCACTCCCTCTCTGTGAAATCTCCAAAAAATACATTTGCCAAGAAAATAAAATTAAGAACCCTAGCCTGACACTCAGTGTCTTTTAGAGTCCTACTCCTCAGTCTCCTGCCAGCTTTGTCATCTCTTCACTTAATCTTCACTATAGCCAATTAAAAACCGTTTCCAATCCCTCTAACACACCACAATTTCCTTTACTTGTTGGCTTACTTTGTTCATATCCTTTCTGCTGGCTAGAATGCATTTCCCACATTGCTGCACATCCAGTACCTACTTGTCCATCAAGGCCCAGGACCAGATTATAGGTCTTTCATGAAGAACTTCTCTGCCCCTTCTGGTGAAAGTCATTTCTCCTTCCTCAGGCCATTAATAGTAATCTTCTTAATGAATTACACTTACCATTTCCTAATCTTATAAGTATTTTGTGTGTTATCTTCCCATATTATAAGCTCTCTGAAGATCTCTGTTTTTCTTTGAATCTCTTTAATATTTTATATAGTACAGATATGGAATAAGTGAATAAACTTTTAAAGTACCTTAGTGTGCCTTATATATTTTTATTTTTGTCCTACAGTTTATAATTAGTAGTCATGTTTGTAAGTGAACATTTAATTGAAAAAGAGAAAGTTTGACCTTTTAAACTGTATTACTGAAAAATTTTTTTAAAGATGAGGAGATTAAGAACTTTAAATTGGTAGTCACAAAATTGTCCCGAGGATGTAAAGTACAGCATAGGGAATAAATGTGTAGTCAGTAATATGAAGGATGACCCAGAAAAACCAGAATTATTTTCTAGAGGACAGATCTCTTGTAGTACAGGTTTCCCCCACCAGGTGAATGCTCTAGGAACCTATCTGTATCAGTGTACTAGCTGGTATGCGAGAGGCTGCGTTCAGGTTCAGTCATTTTTTTTTTTTATTTTAATCCAGTCATTTTTTTGAAGACTCTTTTTGTGTGTTTCCCCATTTCATGATGTGTGATTTATAAGTGCACCTGCCCACACAGCACTGAGTGTTCAGCAGTTTTTGACCGAAAATGGCATCACCCCTGTGCCGCTCTCTCCCTTCACCTGATCTCACCCCCAAGTGACTTTCTTTTGATTCCCTGGATGAAAAACATCCTCAAAGGGAAACATTTGCCAACGTGGAGAGGTAAAACAAAAACGGCAGAAGCACCAAAGGCATCAAAATCAATGTGTTCAAAAACTGTTTTGAACAGTGGAAAAAAGTCTCGCCCTGGCTGGCGTAGCTCAGTGGATTGAGCGCGGGCTGGGAACTAAAGTGTCCCAGGTTCGATTACCAGCCAGGGTACATTCCTGGATTGCAGGCCGTAACCCCCAGCAACCGCACATTGATGTTTCTCTCTCTCTCTCTCTCTCTCTCTCTCTCTCTCTCTCTCTCTCTCTCTCTCTCTCCCCCCCCTTCCCTCTTTAAAAATAAATAAATAAAATCTTAAAAAAAAGAATTCAAGTTTTAAAAAAAAATTTAAAAAAAAAGAAAAAAGTCTCAATAGATGTGTTACATCAAATGGAAAGTACTTTGAAGGGGACTCAACTTTAGACTTTTAAGAATAAATACACAATTTTTTATAAATAAATTCCAGGGTTTTTTTTTTTGTCCCCTTCATATTGTAATAACTATGTACAGTGCCAGGTGGGCACTTGAAATATTGAGGGCACCACTTTGTAAAGTATATGATTGTCTAACCACTAAGATGTTCATCTGGAACTAATGCAAATAATATTGAATGTAAACTAATTGAAAAAAATTTAAATTTAACTGTGTATATCATGTTTATATCCACAGCCTCATGCGATCATTCGTCATACCATTAGATCTACAAACAGGAATGCCAGAGCTGAAAGGACAGCTTCAGAAATAAATTGTATGTGTTTGGTATACATTTTCAATTGGTGGTTTTGGAGGGTTGAGCTAATTATTCATGTGGTGTTTTGGAATAATAAAATCTCAAACCAACTGAGTCTGCATACTTTAACGTACTAGAATACCTCAAAAATAAGGGTTGTTTTCCTTGTTTATAATGAAATTCGCTTGGTTTACAATAAAATAATTTTTTATTTTTAATTACAAAGGTAATATATGTTTGTCACAGAAAATTCGCAAGAGGAAAAAACTAGAAAATCAATACTGCCTGTGATCACATCACATAGTGCCAACCCACAGATAATATTTTGCTGAAATTTTTTCATGCTTTCCCATGTATATTTTTAGATGGCTGAATTTATACATAAAATTTTGCTTACCATAGTCAGATGTATTTTACACATATTAGCCTAGCCTTTATAACCATTATGTTTGATGGTTACATCCTATTTATTTGATTGATATCTTATTGTCAAACAGTTCTTTATTATTGGATGCTTGGGTTGGTTTTAGTTAGTTTAACACTAAGATGAGTGTTTCCTAAAATATGTATTTTAAAAGGGGAATAGGTTTTTATTCAGTAAATTAATCATTGACAGATAAGAGTTTTGTATTGAAGAATATAAATATTTGTCATTATAGCCACACTAATATAGAAGAATAGATTTGCAAAGAAATTTTAAGTATGGATATGTTGACTTAAATGCATGCTTGTTTCAAAAGAGATCTAAAGTATTAGTTTACACTAAAAATATGAAAATTACAAACCATAATGGAGAAAAATAGTTTATTAAATATCTAGGCTAATTGGAATTATTGCAGATCAACATTTTAAGTGTGAGTTTTCTTGAATCCAAGTATTTCTAGCTTTCTAGATACAGCATTGGAAATGTAGGTCAGCAGAGAGTTAGAATGTTGTTCCCTTATCAGTTGTTTCAATCATGTCTCTTCACAGTTAAACCAGTAATTCAAGATTTTATCTCTGCATTAGTCCCAGATTGGCGATGTTGTTATGCTCTTTTCTCATATAATCCCAAGTGGACTCTGGGCTTCAAACACCAGACAGAAAAGTAGCAAAGTTGATGTTCCATTATAAAGCTCTCTTTATTTTATGTAGCTGTGTAGTATTCAATTAATGTACTCTAATTTATCCATTTTTTCTTGTATAACTTTTGGGTATTGTGTTATGTTTAGGAAGGCCTTCTAGATGTTAAGGTTATAAAAGAATTTTCCTATTGTTTCTTCTTGTATTTTTACAGTTTCATTTTTAATATTTAAATCTTTGATAAAAGATTTAAATAGTAGAAGGTATTTAATATTTATTAGTACTATTTATTTAGTAGAAGGTATAAAATATGGATTCAGCTTCAGTTTCTTTCCAAATCATGACTCATTTGTCTCATTGCTATTTATTAAAAACTTAGTATTTTCACTGGTCAATTTGATATGTCCCCTTTATTATGTACTAAATTACCACATATATTTTAGGGCTCTTTCTGGAAATTTTGTTGCATCAATATATCTAATCATGTGCTGGTAGCATACTTTTTTTTTAGATTTTATTTTTATTTTTATTTCTTATTTAATCATTATTGTATTTTTTTCCTCATTACCATTTAGTCCCCTTTTACCCCACCACCCCCAGCAGTCACCACACTGTTGTCCATGTCCATATCCATGAGTCCTTTTTCCTTTTTGCTCAGTAAGGATGTGTATGAAAGGGTGAACAGTAAATCTATACAATAAAATAGACCCAGAAGCCTGTTTCCTTGGAAACTTGCAATGTCGTATTCAGAAGCCCTTTTATTTGAAGCTTCGTATCTAGGTTGGACATTGAAGCTGCTTCTCTCTTTTCAATGACTTAGATCTTTCAGGCAAGAACAGAATGGTTATTCTAGTGAATATGATTTCTAGCAAAGTTTCTACGGTCTGTGAGTTCAGAGAATGGTATTTCTCAGTAAGAAGGCAGTAGTAATTCAGAGAGGGGATCATTATGCGGTACTTTACATATGCAGTACATCCTTGGGAAAAACATTCTTTCTTACTGACTTTGCATTTGGATTTGTGTCTGTCTTGCCAGCTTTATAAATGGCGAGGCAGATTACTTTCTCAGTCTGATCTATATATATGGGTGTATTAGTTAAATTACTTATTTTTTTTTTTAATTGTTTTGTTCTGGCTGGCGTAGCTCAGTGGATTGAGCGTGGGCTGTGAACCAAGGTGTCACAGGTTCAATTCCCAGTCAGGGTACATGCCTGGGTTGCAGGCCATGACTCCCAGCAACCACACATTGATGTTTCTCTGTCTCTCTCTGTCTCTCTCTCTCTCTCTCTCTCTCTTTCTTTCTCTCCCCCTTCCCTCTCTAAAAATAAATAAATAAAAATCTTTAAAAAAATCTTTAAAAAATCTCTAAAAAATATTAAAATATTGTTTTGTCATCTGAAAAAGTTTCTTAGTGATTGAGTCTAACTACCTAGGAAACTAACTGATTACAAGGAATTGAAACCAAAGGAAGATGAGAGAGATCGACAAAGAGTGCACCCCAACACTCGGTTTAATTGTATGGTTTTAGCTGACTCACAAGTTTTAGCCAGGTATTGAACTCATACAGTGGACTGACTCTGGCTGCAAAGAGCAATGTTAAGAATAGGGACTCTACAGGTATCACATATAAGAGATAACAAGTGTGGCTGTCAACAATCCCAACTTGCAAAGAAGAAAGTCTCCCAACTTGCAAAGAAGAAAAAAATATAGGGAAAAAAGAGGAAAGAAATTAGAAAACTGATATGCACATTAAAGTATGACAGTGTCTGTTGGCATCATGTTCCATGCATCTTGGCAAATAATGCATTTCATGTCATCTTCAGCTTGATCCAACAGACTTGTGTGGAAACTCTTCTCTTTGCGGTTATCTGCTTCTGAAGATTCTTTGTCATCTCAAGTCTGACATGTCCTATGGAGAGAACTTACATTGATATAAGATTCGCCTGTGTCGCTATAATAGTTGTTCACAGTACCTGACAAGATTCTGTTTAATAGGTTAGAGGGCAGTTTTCCAGAAGGCAATCTGAGTTTTTAATCATGAAAAGGTTACTTCAGAGGAAATGCTTCTTGGGTGTGTTTGAATTTAGAACAGTGTGTACTGTACAAGTCTCAGTTATGTTAGTCTATAATGTAGAAACTGGAGTTGGGGGCAGTATTCCCAGATGTGTAAGATACCTAGTTTTTGGTTCACTGGAAGAGAGTTAATAAGCTCCCAAGGGAATTGACTTCACTGTCATTCATACCAAAATGAACTAACACTTGAGGCCGAGGAAGTCCAACAATTTTTGAAAGTTCACCCAACTTGAGTTTGAAAATTCCATTTGTCCCTCTTATCTCACCTGAACACAGAGGCAGTGGAGATTTGCATAAGACGTGTTGTCTTACAAAGCTCCTTAGTCACAGTTGTAGGGAAGGGTTTATGTCACTAGAAAAGTTAAGAGTTTTCCCTGGTAGGAAACAAAAACTGCAACTTTTCTCTGCCATTGTTAATAGTTGAGGCTTTTTAACAAAACTTTGATCCATCCTAAAAATAAACATGTGATAACCAAAAATATAGCCTTTGTTAACAAAAATTGTTTATGAAAAATTATCTGGCCCTGGCTGGTGTGGCTCAGTGGATTGAGCAACAGCCTGTGAACCAAAGCATTGCCGGTTCAATTCCCAGTCAGGGCACATGCCTGGGTTGCCAGCCATGTCCCCAGTAGTGGGTGTACTAGCGGCAACAATACATTGATGTTTCACTCCCCCTCTTTCTCCCTCTCTTCCCCTCTCTCTAAATATAAATAAATAAAATCTTTTTTTTAAAAAGAGATGATCTGAAACATGGCATACCCATATGTCCCATCACCATTTATTCCCCCTGTACCCTCTTCCACCTCCACCTACCACAGTACCCCCCACATTCAACACACCAGACTGTTTTTAAGACACAAAATAGAAAAATATTCAGGTGCATCACGATCCTTAATAAGTACTGCACTATGAAACTTCTGTTGGACTTTGTTTTGTTAGCAATTTGACTGTGATGTGCCTAGGTGCAAGTTTTCCTTGTTTTATTTGTGGTTTATCGAACTTCACAGATCTATTAATTGTTGGGGTTTTTTCCATCAAATTTGGAAAATTTGGGGTGACTGTTTCTTTAGATTTTCTGCCCGAGCTCCTCTCATCTCCTTTTGGAACTTCATTTAAATGTTAGACCATTTGATGTTTCACAGGTCACTGAGGCTCTGTTCTTTCTGTCTCCCATAGACTTACATGTGGCTTTTGGTCCTCTCTACTTGAATTTTGTTTCTAGTGCCCTGGCTATCAAGTACTTTGATCTTTTTTTATGTGATGTTCAATTTTCTCTTTAAGTCCATTGGTGAATTTTATTTTAAATATTGAATTTTCCAGACCTAGATTTTCATTTATATATATAGATATATGTATATATGCAAGGTCTGTCCAGAAGGTATCCAGCCATGTAATATGAAAAATAGAGACAATTGTTGAAGATACAAGATACAAAAAATACTGTACATTGGACAATGAAGCCTCAGCCCCCTGCAAAATATGCACATTGGGACTTCACACAGTTCTTTCCATCGCCATCAGCTTCCCTGTTGTATTTTCCTGAATCTTATCGACAATCTAAAGTCTCTCCCCTTTCAAAGGTGATTTTAGTTTTGTAAAAAGCCAGAAGTCTCAGAGTGCCAAATCTGGCTGTTGAGGGGCTGAGTCACCTGGGTGATTTGATGGTTAGCCAAAAAACTCTGCACGAGGCATGATGCATAAGCAGGCACATTTTTGTGATGAAGCTGCCAGTCACCAGTTACCTGTAGCTGCAGCCTTCTGAGTCATCCAAATAGTTTCTGTGGAGGAGTGTTCAAGCTTAAAAATGTGATGCAGATTTGTTGCTCTACTCACTCATTTTGAATGCAGTGGCCACACAGTACATATGTTCACTCAACGGCATCTACTGTCCCCACTGACTAGTACAGTGAAGTCATCATTGTTCACTCATGCACATTCCAGTCCACTCTCCTTGGCTGCCAGGTTACATCGATGTTGCACAAACTGTTCTTGTTACATGAAGAATGGCTGGACTATTTCCTGGAGAGGCCTCATATAATATACATGTATACCATATTTTGCTGTGTATAATTTGCACTTTTTTGCCCAAATTTTTGAGGGAAAAATAAGGATGTGTATTATACATGGGTAGTATCTGAAATACTTTGTATTCTTGTGTTTTATAATTATGTTACATAAAATATCTTGTACCATAATATGTTAAAAAAACAAGTATCTAAATATTAATTAATTAGTTAATAATTAAAAATTAAAAGATTTTTTCCTGTAAGTTTGGGCCAAAACTGTGGGTGTGCATTATACATGGGACCACATTATACATGGCAAAATGCAGTATATATAGTTGCCATTTTTTTCTGAGAATTTCCATCTGTTCACTGTGTCTGCCTTTTCAGTTCTTGAGTATATAATGGCTATTTTAAAGTTAATGGGTACTAATTTCAATATGTGTATTGTCTCTGGATCTATTTCTATTTTTCAACTGGTTATGGTTTCTGTTTTCTTCTCTAGTTGTTTCTTACTGTATCTTGAATGTTGTGATACGGAATTGAGTGCCTAGATTTTATCCTCTTTATTTTAAAGAGCATTTAAGAGTTAATTAATTTTGGTAGGTCAACTTAATCCTTTCAAGGCTTGTCCAAGTTTTACTAGAATATTTAGCAAAGTCTTTCCTCTGGGTAGAAACTGAAATGTCTTCACTTTGATCAGCAAGATCTACATGTAGCTCACTGCATTGTTAGCTCTTTTCTGACATACCTTGCATAATTTTGCTTTGCTTTTGAGCAATTTAGCATTTAACTAAAACCTTAACAGACCTCTTGGCATATTTTCTTCTTTATGCAGCTGTCTTATTTCTGGTACTCTGCCCATCAAATTACCACTGTCCAAGCAGCTCGAATCTCCAGTCTTTGTTTCCTGCACCCAGTGAGACTGTTACTCTCTTCTGTGGGTTCCACTATCTTGTGCCCTAGTTAGAAAAATGCCTTCCCTTCGGGCAGAAAGTGAGGGTGAATCTGGATCTTGCCACCATGTAGTTTCCTTCTCTCAAACCTTGTGGTGTCTGTTATCCGTTGCCTCTAAATATTGCTTTGTATAGTTTGTACACACACACACACACACACACACACACACACATATTTGTGTTATATGTATGAAGTTGTTTATAGCAGACGGCTAAGTCCGATTCCTGTTACTTCATTATGGCTAGAACCTGCATGATCTTTTGGAGATAAATGAGAATGTATAATAGAAAACCTTTCGCCTTTTTATTTTCATAGGACAAAGATGCATGGTACTGTCAGGATTTTCTTTGAAACAAAACAACTTGGGGTTCATCCCAGAACAAGAAACCATACCTGCAGTAACATTAGGCTAGTCAGAAAGAATTTTTTTTTAAGGAATACTTTTATTACATGCTAAAATAAAACATCTTTAAGTATTGGCTATTATAAATGAAATCTCTCATTTTTAATCACTGAAACTGGTATTGGGATGCAGTTGATATTTTACTGTATCTTTAATTCAAATTTATGAAACTCATTTACTCCAGAAACTTTTTGTCTTGAAATTTGTTGTAGATGTATAATTTCTTTTTTTTTAAATGGCATTTTCTCTTTTCTATATTTATACCTTTTATAATTCAACTCTAGACTTGCTTGCTATTATTTCTAGTTGTGACAAAAAAAACTTTAGCTTATTTCTATCTCGGATGGTTTCCTTGTGAATTATAGTAGTGGTTCTTGAATTAAGATGTTTTTTAATTATGTTAAGAAATAAGCCATTAATGAGCAAGGGTCTTTTTATTTTGGGTTATTTTTGAAAGTAGATATTATATTTAATAGAATGTCTTCTGGTCTTTTTTTTTTTTAAAGATTCTATTTATTTTTAGAGAGGGGAAGGGAGGAAAAAAGAAAGGAAGAAAAACATCAATGTGTGGGTGCCCCTCACACACCCCCTCACTGGGGACCTGGTCTACAACCCAGGCATGTGCCTGAGACTGAGAATCAAACCAGCAACCCTTCGGCTCACAGGCCAGCACTCAATCCACTGAACTACACCAGTCAGGGCGCCTTCCAGCCTTTTATTGTAAATTTGAACTTAATTTTTTTGTTTAATGTAATAAATTATATACATACTTTGTATTGCTTTACAAATCTTGTTTTTTAGAGATAAGGACAACTGGATCCTTTTTGAAAGTACTTGTTTAATGTATTTAGGAATTTTGCATCTCTGTGATGAAAGTGTATTTTAATTTTAATTTTTTTTTTTTTTAGTCTTTTAGTCACAGATTTTAGAATTTTAAAATTCTGTATACTTTATGAGTGGATTATAAGCTGTCCTTGTCTCTGTTTTAGAATAGTTCATATAAAAGACGAATTCTTTATTTGTAATAATTCTAAAATCAGTCTAGGCCAAATAAAATACAAATTTAGCAAAATATAATATTAGATTCCTGAATGCATTGCAACACTTAATTTGACAAATATCATTTGTTATTTTTAGATAATTATAAGTAATTTGGTGGGGGGGGGTGCATCCCTGTCATAAAGTTGTAGCTTAAATTAGTCTCAAAACAGAGTTTGCAGTCTTAGTGTTTTTAAACCCTTTGAAATCCTTTAAGTCATCTATTTAGTTTATAAAAATCTCTTACACATAAAATTTTCTGACTTGAACCAAGAATTAAGTAGAGTTGTTAGGAAGATAAATTATTACTTTCTTTTGGTAAACATAAAGGGGTACTCTTATAATTTAAAAAATGAGATTTTGTATTTTTGTCTCCTCTCTTACTTTTCCCCCACCCCAATACACATGCTTCTCATTACATTTCTTAGATTAACCCTATAAGATGGAGTTTGTGAACATTTATTATATATTTTGCAGTTGACAAATTACAGTTTGAACCACCTCTGAGGAAAGAAACAGAAGCACGGGATGAAATGGTAGGAGTTAATGACTTTAAAGTATTTTACACATTAAAATTTGAGAAAACTTAGGTGTACTTTGACTAAGGAACAAAGCAATATACTCTTTTAAGCATCAATTTTGATCATGTATTTCATACATTAAGGTTTGAAAAACCCTACACTTGGGCTTTTCTAGGGTATTTTTTCTCAGGTAGAATGTGTAATTTGCTATTTTAACCATTTTTTTTTTTACCCTTATGAGACTTGAAAAACTTACATGAAGTTATTTAGTATTGTACATGGAATTTGATGCTCAGCTTTAAGCTCTCAGGCTCTTTTTTCTTATTGATTCTTGTTGCATTTGCCTTACTGTTTTTCATAGTTACTTACTAATTAATATAGGTTCTTTTTTAACAGTTGCTCTTATTCTGTGATTACTGTTTAGGTAACCCTTTCCTTATCTGAAAGGAAAGAAGTACTAGATAGAGCAAGATACTATTAGAGTCAGCCTAGACATTATCTTAACCTACATTATATTAGTAAAAGTATAGTTTCTAGAGTAATTATCTTCTGTTAATGGATCTGTTCATCCTAACCCTTGGAAACAGTGCTCCTCTTACTATTTATAGCAAGGGGCAAAAGTAGGTTTACAGTTGTGAGTACATGAAACAGTTTGTTCCTGCATTGTTTTTTGTTAATTATTGTATTATTTTCCATGAGAGCAACTGTAAATCTACCTTTGTCCAGTCCTGTGTGTTGCTGTATAATAAATTCTCAACGTCTATACTAGTAGGGAAAAAATAATAGCATCAATAAATTAATGATATTATGATGTTTAGTTCTTCATGCTAATAAAGTAGTGATGCAAATAATTCAAAATTAGATTTTTTTGTTTTACTCTGGAATATACTAGCTAATTGATAGAGGGCTTATCACACCTGAAGCTATATTATAGTATGTTTATGGAATTTCTTAAGTTTTAGTCAGCTGATGATTCATTGACCTAAATATGCCTAATGCCAGCTAATCTAGCTGGAGATTAAAAAATTGATTGAAAGCCAAGATGATTAGCAATCATGACTGAACATTTTTTTGAATCAAGTGAAATGGCTAATATCTGTTTCAAGGTAACATTTTAAACTCTAGTTTTTACCTTCACAGGGAGTATCCTCAGACCCAAACTTTGTACTACAGTGGAGTCCTTTTGTTGATGGTGCAAATACTGGAAAGTAAGTTGTTTACTAATATAAAAACTTTATTTTACTTCATTACATAAGAGCAGTATTGGGGGGTGATTTATTTATCCCAGAGAGTTTTCATTTACAGTCTTTAAAAAGTTATACTGTGCTTCTTGTCAATATAAAGTTTCTGACATTTTTTTATTACCAGAATGCATCATGTGTTGATTCTTAAGGTTTTTAGTTTTTGTTCTTTAAATTAGAATGTAGTATGTGTAATATTAATATTCAAAAAGATGAACCACACAGTATTATGGGGGAAAATACTGTAGTGGGAGCCAAAGAGCTCCAATTTCATCTCTGCAATGCAGTTACATCATATTCTAGACCTGTCTTCTCTCAGCAGTTGACAGGGATAGCCTAGGAGACTAGTTCCAGACCCATGTGTATATTGCAATATCTAGAGAAAGATACAAGAGTCCTGGAGCCCTACATTAAGCCTATAGATTTAGGGTTTGGTAAACTGGCTTATAATCCACAGCTGATCCACTGCCTATTTTTGGTACAGCCCACAAACTAGAATGGTATTTACATTTTTTAATGAATGATAAAAATCAAAAGAACCATGGTATTTTGTTATACTTGAAAATTATGTGAAGTTTGAATTTCAGTGTCCATAGATGAACGTTTATTGGAACATAACCACGCTCACTAGTTTATATATTTTCTGTGACTGCTTTCATGCTACAACAAAAGAGTTAAGTATTTGTGACCATTGTTTGGTTCGGAAAGCCTGCAGTATTTACTGGCTGGCCCTTTACAGAAAAAAAAAATGTGTCAACTCCTTCTATACAAAACAGTCTTTGGGACTAGAATCTAAGAATCCTGAAAGCTTCCCAACTGATTGCAGTGACTGAATAAGTGTATGGAACTAGTAGCCTAGATGAGTGATTCTCCAACTTTGGTGTGTCTGGATGCTCATCTGGAGATCTTATTAAAATGCAGATCTGATTCAGTGGGTCTAGAAAGTGCATTGATGAAAGTTTCTGTGTAATGCCAGTCTTGCTGATCTGTGGACCCCACTTAGAGCTGCAAAGGACTTGATAATATGGCCATTTGAATCTGTGAATCACTGGGGGTTCCAACTGTAAACTTCTGACTCTGTTTTTTACTACTTAGTTTAATTTAGTTTTTATTATAAAATGTTGCAAAGCATAACCATAAAATAAAAAAGCCTTTTATTTAGTGTGTAAAAATCTCTGTTTCATAGTTATACTAATACAATTTGACAGAATGAGATCTTATGATTTCCTGTAGATTTTTAAAATTCTGTGTACCATGATCTAATTGTCTTTTCTGTCCCCTGAATATAAACAGATTTTAATGTACATTTAATAGTATATCTACGTTATGATCATTTATCACCATCTAAACTGCATTTTTCCTTTTGTGTTAGATCAACCTCAAAACGAGCAATTCCACCTCCCCTTCCTCCTAAGGTGAGCTTTTGATATATTTTAAACAATAAATCCTCATTTAAATAATTAAATTTTTAAAATAATGTAATTGAATTTGTTTAGAATTCTTTTCACTATATTTTAAATACAGTTTTCTTTGAGAGGGGATTATGAAGATGTAAAATATATATTAAAATAACTATTAGGAAAAGACAAAAATTGATTATTACTCATTTGAGAAAATACTTGGCTACATGAGAAGTGAAAAAGAGTTCATTATTTATAATACTGACTTATTACTGATACAATTTGACATTTCAGTAAAGTCATACTTCATTAAGTCATTTCCTTGCTTGTTTCTAGGTACCAAATATTTACATAGTTTTACTGGTTATAAAAATTATATCAATCAATTTTAGGTTAGAATTGATTAAAAATCACATGGCAGATTCATAGCTGTGTTGGAACAGCAACTGAACTCTTGCTTACCTTGCTTATTAGCCCAGTGAATTGAATTCCATAGAAGAAAGAAAAAAAGGCATATCCTCCTCCTCCTAAAGTCTTTGATGCATAATGATGATAAAGTGTTACTGTTTAATACACTCAAATTTATTAAAGTATTTTTGTGTCTTACTATCACTAGCCAAGGATAAACAGTTACCCTGAAGATAACCACCTAGATGAAGAAAAATCATCAACTATAAAACGTTGCCCTGATTCAGAGAACAGACCTCCCCAAGTTCTCAGAAGACAGAGTAGCCCAAGTTGTGTTCCTGTAGCTGAGACTTCCTCTATTGGTATGGCTAGCAGTATTAGCAGCCCTGGAGTGTGTATAGCTAGATACTGTGATCTGGGTAAATAAATGAAAGTGAAAACTGAAAAGAATGCCATTTTGTTCAGATTTTTTAAAATGTCTTTTTAGTCAGTTTTATTAGTATTTAAATCTTTGTAAAATTTCTTTACAATTCCACATGGGTTGGCTTTAAGTAGATTCAGTCCAATTCAACCCTAATTTGATTCCTTACTAAATATTCTAGGACCCAGAAAGAGGAGTGGATGTAATGCCCTCCAGAAGTACAGGGTCTGTAGGCGAAGTTAACCCATGTACACATAACATTAGACAAGACATTTTGTGTTATAAGTGTCTTCTTCAATAATTAACTGTATGCAGTAGAGGATGAGAGATTTCTGAGGGAAATAGAGATCGGAAAGAGGCAGGAGGTGAGCCCTTGCAAAGTATTAAACAGCTTGGTGAGCCTTCAGTAGGTAGAGCCACTGCTGACAGGCATTCTTGGAAAACAAGAATAAACAATGCACTAGAGCAGAAAAATATGAATGTGTTTGAAATGCAATCTACAACAGCATGGCAGAAATGTGAGCTTTTAAAGGTGTATACTGGGAGATAGGACTGAAAAGATAGGTTGACATTCAGTTATGAAAGGCCTTAAATATCAGAATCAACAGGTCATATTTTATTTTTCTCACAATATGAAAAGATATTTGTTGTTTTTATGCATTAAGACCATTGCTAAAGATGCTACAGAATCCAGAAAAAGGCATGGAAGATACTTTAACTCGTGTGATGGAGAATATTTCCCAATAAAGGATTACCTAATATTATGCTACGTGAAATAAGTCAGAGAAAGACAAATACCATATGATTTCACTTATATGTGGAATCTAAAGAACAAAACGAACAAAATAGAAACAGACTCATAGATACAAAGAACAGACTGTTGATTGTCAGAGGAGAGGGTGTTTGGGAGGCTAGGTGAAAATGGTGAAGGGATTAAGAAGTACAAGTTGGTGGTTACAAAATAGTCACAGGGTTGTAAATTACAGTATAGGGCATATAGTCAGTAATATTGTAATAACTGAGTATGGTGCCCAGTGGTTACTTGAGATATCAGGGGGATCACTTTGTAAAGTATATAATTGTCTAACCACTATGGTATATGCTGTATACCTGTAACCTATAATTGAATATAAAATATAACTGAAAAATAAAATTTACCAAGCATTGGGGGAAAGGGAAAGTTATTTTTTTTTTTTAAGGAAAGTACTTACTCAAATAGTTATTCAACTTTTAATTATGACTCTCTTTAGGAAATGGTGATGGTATTTCAAAACTGATTAGTGAAAATACAGAAGGATCAGCACAAGCACCACAGTTACCACGAAAAAAGGACAAGCGAGATTTCCCTGTAAGTATAACAGGCATTTGGTGATTAATACTATATAGTACTAATATATAGTAACTAGTACTATATTTTCTTATAAGGGGCATAGTCTGCTTAATTGAAGAATTTGAATAACTGAATTTCTAAATCTGTAAAAAAAATTTTTAAGGCTTAAGAGGTCTTACAGAATTAATAATTATTTTTCTCACAGAAACCAGTTATCAATGGCCTCCCACCCACCCCTAAAGTGCTGGTAAGGAATATTTTTATATGAATCACTTACCAATTTTTATCTCTTTAGAAGCAGAAGGTTGTTTATTTGCTGTCAAGTATCTTGAGCCATTGATAGGAAAGATTTATAAAGTACAAAATGCATTAAATGCATTTAGATATACCATGTACCTTTTTTTTTAATCCTCACTTGAGGACATGCCCATTGATTTTTTAGAGAAAGGGGAAAGGAGGAAGAGAGAGAGAGGGAGAGAAACATCGATCAGTTGCCTCTCATGTACACACCCAGACCAGGGACAGAACCCGCTAAGCATGTACCGTGACCCAGAACCAAACCCACAACCTTTCGGTTTATGGGCCAGCACTCCAACCAACTGAGCCACTCAGGCCAGGGTAGAGAGTCACTTTTTATAAATATAGGCAGTTGAGTTCTATGATTAGCCTACAAAGGCCAAATTAATATTAATGTGTTGATATTAATGGTACTATGTCCTCTTCATTATATGGGTTAAGTATTTTTCTACATCTGAAGCCATTTTCACATTGAACTACACACAGTGAAAAGGATCAGGAAACCTTATAACACTTGTTCTCTGGTCCTTCAGTATAACCTATCTGTAAGTGATGGTATAGCTGATCATATAAAGAGGACACTTTAGGAGTTGTACCTTTTTACTCAGCAAAAGTCTTAAATATGTAGTGTAAAGATTACTCTTTTTTTCTGTTATCACTGTTAAAGAGTTACAGCACAATTATAACCATGGTAGTGTTACTCAATGAAACGGATGTCAAACTCATTTTCACCAGGGGCCACATCAGCCTTGTGGTTGCCTTCAAAGGGCTGAATGTAGAGCTCCTTGCCTCTAGTTAAGGAGTAGTTATGTTTATACAGTCCTAAAATTACGTTTTGCCCTTTGAAGGCAACCATGAGGCTAATGTGCCCCTGGTGAAAATGAGTTTGACACCCCTGCAATAAAACGATCCATTGTTTTACATCCTTAAATATTAGTCCTCAAGATAAGCAGTGACTTAAAATTTTTAGAATATCATTGATATAAATAGATGTTTTGATAAATTTGATACTTTTGCCCAAAAATATGGATTATACAAAGAAAGAATATGAGCCTCTATTAGTAGAAGGGGTTAAATTATATCAAAATATGAATTTTGTTTTGTAATGAACCATAAGTATAAAGAGTCAGTTTAACATAACCTTAGCTATTTTCTAAGAATATATAAAATTATTTAGTCAAATAAGTCAACTTTTTTTTCTTTATAAATAAGATGGGAGCATGCTTTTCCAAAGTTTTTGATGGCTGCCCTTTGAAAATTAATTGTGCAACATCCTGGATACATCCTGACACAAAAGGTAAAATTTCTGAAGTTTTATACACATCTCCAATAAAATATTTATTATGGGAAAGAATCTTTCTGATCAGTGAATTGAGTTTGTTTACTTTATAAATATAACTTCAACACTAAATAGTGTAGGTACCTGCAACAACCTAAGTAGGTGAATAAGAGTTTTGATTTAAAGCATTAGAATTTAAGCGTATAAAACAGGCATGTCAAACTTATTTTCAGTGGGGGCCACATCAGCCTCGCAGTTGCCTTCAAAGGGCTGAATGTAGTTTCAATTCCTTAACAGTTAAGGGGTAGTTACATTTATACAGTCCTGAAATTATTTCAGCTCTTTGAAGGCAACCAAGAGGCTGATGTGGCCCCCGATGAAAATGACTTTGACACCCCTGACATAAAGGAACTGCTCTGATTAAAGGAGACCAATGAGACATCACAATTGATTGCAACCATAATTTAGGATTTTCTGTTATGCAAAAAGACAATACTGGGACAGATGATAATCTCAGTAAGTCAAGTCAAGGTAATAATATCATTTCACTGTTAATTTCCTGATTTTGATCATTGTGCTGTCGTTACATAAGACCTTTTTTCCCCCCCTTTAAGAAATGCACACATTTGGGAGTAATAGGACATTGTGCTTATAACTTATCTGAAGGGAAAAACAAAAAAGTTTAGAAAACAAAAAAATAGTGTGTATGGAAAGAAGGATAAAGCCAAAGTGGTAAATATTAACAAATGTGGAAAGTGTGTGGAGGCCATTCAGGAATCCTTTGTACTATCACAGCTTTTCTGTAAGTGTGAAATGATGGCAAATAAAACTTATTTTTAAAAATTTAAACTTTTTAAAGTAAGGAAGCATAATACATAGAAGCAAAAATGTCTAATCAAACAGATCTGGGTTTGAATTTCTGCTGTCATTACTATGTGACTTGGGGAAGATACATAACACCTTTGGTTCTTGGAATGATCATTCATAACAGAACCTTAATACAACTCACTTTATTGCAAGGAAGTTAAGGAGCCTACCTGGAAGTCTGGAAATTAGCAAACAGGAGTTAGGCAGTGGAGGGTGTTCAGGAAATATTTTTCACTTCACACCAATAAAAACAGGTCATATCATATAATTATCTGCTTTAAATGTCACTATTACAAAGTATACAAGAAGAAAATATTTTAACAGTAAGGAAGTGGGGTTTTTTGTGTTTGTAAATTTGCATTTTGATATAATTTTAAACTTACAGAAAAGTTAGAAAAATAGTGCAGTAAACTCAGAATCATTGTTTCTATTTTGTCCCATTTGTTTTACTATATATGTGCATTTTTTTCTGAATCACTTGAGAATGAGTGGAAGACATCATGTTCCTCTTCCCCTTGTACTTCAATCTGTATTTCCTAGTAACAAGAATTATCTCTTACATAGCCACAGTACAATTATAAAGATCAGGAAATTTATTGGTGATAATACTATTTTTTAATCCACAGTCCATATTTAAATTATATTAATTATTCCAATAATGTCCTTTATCATTTCCCTCCTCATTTTTTCCCCCGGTTCAAAATTCAATATCACAGGTTACATTTAGCTACGATGTCTTTTTAGTCTTAGTCTGGAACAGTTTACCCACCTTTCCGTCTTTCTCTTGATCCTGACATTTTCGAGGCTACTTATTTTGTAGAATGTCTCTTAATCTGGGTTTGTTTGATGCTTAGGTCAGGAAATGCATTTTTGGCAGGAATGTCATGGAAGTGTGATTGTGCTCCTGTCAGTGCATCGTCGTAGCAGGGGCACATGATACCAGCTTGTCCAAATACTGGTGATACGAATATTGACCAGTTGTTTAAGGTGGTGTTCACTACCTTTCTCCACAGTCAAGTTCCTGTTTTCCCTAAGTTATAGTAATTAATTAATTAAGTAATTTCCCAAACTAATTGATAAATAGTAAGTGTAGAGATACATTAAGGTTATATAAAGTTCTTTTGCTTCTCAGATTTTCACCGACTAATTTTAGCATCCATTAGCAACAATCCATTGATGTCTATTGACAATCTTTTTTTCCCATCTATTCATTTATGTATTTTTACCAGTTTGAACTTATGAATCCTTTTTTTATCCTGTGAGATATGATCTATCACTGTTAATATTTATTTTAGCACTTAAACTGTCAAAATTTTTTAGCTGTGGGAGCTCCTGTGTACTTTTGTTTGATATGTTCTCATTATTTTCTGAGCACTTCCTTACTTTCTTATCTAGCAAGATTTCTGGAATCATCTTATACTTTCGTGCCCCAGAATTAGAATCAGTCTTCTCTCCAAGAAGGTTTTTTTTTTTTTAGTGGAAAATAATATTTAGAAACCAAGGTGTGTATACTAGGTGTGCTCATGGTTTCTGGTATGTCATAATTTATCATTTCTGTTGAATCTTTAGTTTCCTTGTTCAAAGAGTATTTGAGATATCTGGTAAAAAATATAGTTATAATAACAAATCTTAAGATATGAAAATTATTATGTTGAAAGGAAGGATTGTATAGTAAGGTAAAGCCAGAGTGAGTAACAGAGAATACATATGCTTTTAAAAATAAGAAACGAATTGGGGAAAGAGGTAAGTAAAGAAGGTGGGTGGATTTTAGAAAATAATTTTCTTGAATGGGTGGGAGGCTACTCTTAATACCATTAAAAAATAGAGCCATTATTTTTGTGAATGATTTCAGAAAATGATAGTAAATTCTGGTGGTTATTTCAACTATTTTAGATCAATACATTATTTTTGGAACTGAAGATGGTATTTACACATTGAATCTCAATGAGCTACATGAGGCAACAATGGAACAGGTAATTCTGGAGTTTTAACTCAAAAAATTAGTTTGGATAAATTGAGTAAAAGAAGTATCTTAATTTTAAATCAATATATATAAGCCTCAGTTTTAATTTTTATTATTTAAACATTTAAAGAAGTGAAATTATACATTTTGAATGTGCTTGTTGAAAGCTTTTTTCTTGTAATTTACTGAAAAATATTTTTTGGTAATTCACTGAAAAATAGAAAATGATTATTTTTTGTACTATTTCAGACTTTTGGAATTTGGAGGTTAAGAGATAAGGAAATGAAAATTGGAGAGTTTTAATTATCTTTTTTTTTATAGTTATTTCCCAGGAAATGTACTTGGCTCTATGTTATCAATAATACTTTAATGTCTTTATCAGGTATGTATATGATTCAAATAATATGAAAGATAATATATAGACAAGCAGAGAAATGTAATTTTAATATGCATTATTTTAAAATGTTATTTGTTATTCAGGGTAACTATAATCTAGTTTAGTAACTTGATATTTGCACATATTTTTTACCAGCTTAGAATGGGAAGAAATTTTGAGAAGGGACCCTGTTTTCAGTTAAGGTAGCACTTCTCAAGTCTGCCCAGGATCTCAACTCCTAAGGAATACCAGTGTGCTTGTCACCTGAGGCCATGTCCTTCCACTTACCCACCTCCACTGTCACTGATGTTCCTGCCTTTCGTTGAGCATTAGCAGTTGAAGGGAAAGAATGAGGATCTAGTTGCTTTCTTTTTCTGTTACCTTGAGTAAGTCACCCTCTCTCAGCCTCAGTGTTCTCAATTGTAAAACAATTTCTTTCTCAATTGTAAAAGAATTTTGGTAACAATAACAGCCTCAGAGGCGGCTTTGAGGATGGAATGAGATGATATCCAGAATGCTTGGTGAGCTCTGAGGGTTTCTACAGATACTTCTGATAGAATTCATGTTATTCTGGACCACACATTAATTATCTTGGACCAATGCTTTCAAGTCTTAGAAACAAGTGGGTTCCAGAGCAACCTATTCTAATTTTGTTTTTGTGTTTTTCTTTTTTTGGTTGTTGTTGGCAGTAGATTCATAGGTGGTATTTCAGACTTTTTAAAAAATTCTTACCTATGAAAAGCTATCTTTTCTTTTTTTACATTTTAGATTTAAGTGGCTGTCTTGAGATTCGCTGCTTGCTTTCATTCTGACAGTAGAGTACAAGCTAATTATTTCTCTCTGTTCCTTAATTTAATCCTAATGTTATTAACTATTAAAATAACACTCACCCCTTTCTCTACTTTGAATAATTAAATAATTTTAGTATTTTAATTTTTTTAAATTATTTAGTTTGATGCTCTCTCCTGCTCTGTGTCTCAGTAGATTACATGAGGATTATATTCCTGCTCTATTTACTGTACTGTCAGGCTTCTCAGTGTTAAGTGTACCTTTCAGCTACTTATACTGTACAGCATCAGTGCTGATACTCATTTTTACTCGTTGATAAGTAGATCATTATAAATTGTGGCCTAATCTAAGAAATGTTATTTTCAGAATTTTAAGTATGTGTGTGTGTAACTTGAACTCTTTCACTCTCCAGCACCTAATTAGAGATTCTTCAGGAATTTTTATATTTGCACTTAATGACACTGTTTACAAAGAACATGTTATTTGATTGTGCATAAATGGCTTCTAAAAAGTGGGGGTCCTCAAAGAGTATTTAGTCTGTTTGATTTTTTTAATTTAAATTACATTTCCTCCAAATTGTATTTGCTTTTAACAAAATATTAATTTATTATTATTATGAAAATAAGCTTAAATCCAATTCTGTATCACTTAACAGTTCTGAATTGTATACATATAAGATCACTTTCCTCTAATATTTACTGCTTTTATCTCTACTTCTACTTGTCTTTGGAAATAAGCTTAAAAACCACATAGAGTACATCTTACATGTCTATAACATAACTAAGGAAAACAGGGAAGAGTTAACCTATAAATTAGTTCTCATATTCTAGTTAAAATAATTCATAAAACTGAATAAAGGTAGGTAGCAGGGCTTAATAGGAGAAAACACTGTTCTGCTTAATAGGAGAGAAGGTCTGCATTTGTGTGGATGGGCACACATACATGTACTACTATGTTTAGCTGCCTAGCTAGCCATATAGCTAGCTATGTGTATAAAAGTAATAGAGAGAGGACGGATGGCATAATGTTGGACAGAATGTTTGCATTCCGAAAAACTGCAGAGAATTTTGTTAAGGGTAAGACTGGCTCTTTCTCATGCACTTGTTCTCCTGTTCTCGAACTCGCGCGCGCTCTCTCTCCCCCACCCATTTCTCTCTCCCTGTTGTTATAGTACCATACCATGTATAACATGGAATGAGACGATGGTTACCATATGCCCCATGCTTAAGACAGCTATGGTTTTGATTATGTGGAAATAATCCTATTTCCTGTTATTGCCACATAATAATTGCTGTTGTCTTTGTCTTGTGGCATATATAGTTTGCTTTCCTTTCCTTGGTATTTCAATCTGTTATAAAAGTGTCATTCACAGCCCTGGCTGGCGTAGCTCAGTGGATTGAGCGCGGGCTGGGAACCAAAGTGTCCCAGGTTCGATTCCCAGCCAGGGTACATTCCTGGGTTGCAGGCCAGAACCCCCAGCAACTGCACATTGATGTCTCTCTCTCTCTCTCTCTCTCTCTCTCTCTCTCTCTCTCTCTCTCCCCCTCTCTCTCCCCCTTTCCCTCCACCTCCCTCCCTCCCTTCCCTCTCTAAAAAAATAAATAAAATCTTAAAAAAAAAAAGTGTCATTCACACCCTGGCTGGATGGCTTAGTTGGTCCAAGCATTGTCCCATACACCAAAAGGTTGCAGGTTTGATTCTTTTGGGGTGCGTGTGGGAGGCAGTTCATGGATGTTTCTCTCTCTTTCTGTCACTCTGTCACTCTCTCGCTCTAAAACTCAATAAACATATCCTTGGGTAAGGACTAAAATACATAAAATAAGGTGTCACTCACAATCATTTAATCCAAGGTATTTTGATAAATTGTTAATGAGTAGGTCTATTCTAGAAAATAACACATAGTAGAATTTTTCATGTTTTTCCATGTTATGCTAAAATAACCACACACCCATCATTGTAACTCAGCCCATTGTACAATAGTGGTTAACAATTTCTGTTTGTATGCTGGCTTTACTAAGGTCTATGTATATTCTATCCAGGTCACCTGTTAGTCAGAATATTCCTAATTTGTGTATTAAGAAACACAATTGTCTGTTTTCTTAAAACTCATTTTACTTACTATCTTTCAAAATAGTATTAACTGGGTTTTTTGTTTGTTTGTGTGTGTGTGTGTCTTTTCATATTGCTTGGCTTTTTGAACATTTCTGGACTCCTCATTTTAGAAGGTAATTATATTTTCTTTGCTTGAAAATTATATTTTTCCTGCTGTAAATGATTCTAATAAAAATAATATGTTTCTTTTTTATAGGGAAAACCTTTCAACTCTACTCTCATAATCTTATAGCTTTGTTTGAACAAGCCAAAAAACCAGGATTAGCTGCTCATATTCAAACTCACAGGTTTCCAGACCGCATACTACCAAGGTACAAAATATTTTGATTATGCTGGGAGAGAGGGGAATTAGTGTTTATTTTTAAAATAGTCATTATTCTTTGTCTTCTAAAAAACTTTGTTTTGCCCTGCCCAGTATGGTTCAGCTGGTTAGAGCATCATCCCATAAATCAAAATGTTGTAGGTTCAGTCCCACTTCAGGGCACATGCCTGGGTTATGGATTTGATTCCAGTCAGGGCATGTATTAGAGGCAACCAATCTATGTTTCTCTTTCCTGTTTCACTTTCTGTCTCTCTGTCTCTCTCTCTCTCTCCCCCCCTCCCCCCCTGCCCCCCTCTCTCTCTTTTTCTCTCTCTTCTCTTGCTCCATCCCTTCTTCCTGCCTCTCTAGAAGCAATGAAAAATGTCCTCAGGGTTAAAAAAAACTTTGTCTTAATTTTGAAAGATAGTTTACACTAAAGTACATGTCATCTAAAATTTGAAAGATCAATGTTGCTATGAAATCACCTATAAAGTTTTTTAATGCTTATTATTATTTTAATTTTTAAATTAGTTTACTTGCAATATTATTTTGTATTGCTTTCAGGTATACAGCATAGTAGCTAGACAGTCATGTACTTTATAACGTGTTTGCCCTCCATATTTCCACCACCCACATTGGTACCACACATAGTTACTGCTGTCTAGTCTCTTGGGTAGCTGTTTCCTGACTACCAATATGTACTTAATCCTTTCACCTCTTGTACCTAGTTAGTCCCTCAACCCCGTTCCTTTCTGGCAACCACCAGTCCGCTCTCTGTGTGTTTTAGTCTGTTTCTGTAGAACTTTTAAGTGAAGGGGGACCCCCCAAAAAACAGATTTATGTATTAAAAAGTGTGTATTTATTCTTACATGTTTAAACTTCAGTCATCTTCAAAGCACTCTACAAAAAAATGTCACTCAGAGCAAGATTGGGTGAATAAGGAGGGTGGGGCATGGGGGTCATGCCATTTTTGGTCAGAAACTGCTGAACACTCAGTGGTGTGGGCAGGTGTGCTTGTAAATCAGGACAAATGTGTTGAAAGAATCTTCAAAAAAAACCCCACTGAAGCCGAATGCAGCCTCTCACAATGCCAGCTGGTGCACTGGTACAGATGGGTTCCTAGAACACTCACCTAGAGGGGAAGCCTGTACTACAAGGGGCCTGCCCTCCAGAAGATAATTGTGCTTTTTAGGGGGGTCCCCCTTGGTAGTATAGATTCCTAGGCCCTCCTCAGTCCTGTAAAATTATACTTGGAGGTCAGAGACAGTTTTTATAGAGTTCTTTAACTGGTTCTGATGCAACTGATTCACATATCACTGTAGAAACCATTGCAGTACAGTATGTTTATATTCTTATGCTTTCAGGAAGTTTGCTTTAACTACAAAGATTCCTGATACAAAAGGCTGCCACAAGTGTTGCATAGGTGAGTAAATGCCATTTCTCAAACTGATGGTTAGAACTTTTAACATCTTTAAAGTTATCTGCAGAGACTTATAGTATCAAATAGGAAGGAAGGAAGGCTTTACATCTGTTTTAATAAGGAATTAAGGGGCCACTGAAGCACAAGAATGTATAGTGGGACATGGCGTAAAAATGCTTGGAGATAATAGTCCTAGTGCTTTCTCAGAGCGTAGTGTACCTAAACTTTTTTAACCTTAGTCCGTGAGGATGTATATCTGCTAATATTCTATTTTCACTTATTTAACAGTTCCTGCTTAGTGCTTTATGAACATTATTATTGCTGGAGCTTAGCCAACTATGAAGTCAGACAAAACAGTCCACACATAAATACCCTCACTTCTGAGTCCAATCACAAATTTGGGAGCTTCCCCAAATCTCCAAAAATAATTACTACAGAAAATTGACTATAGTTATATGCATTAGTCCTAGGGCAAGGATTGAGAACCTCTGGTCTTCAAGTTCAGTCTGGTCACAAAATAATTGCTTAAATATTAGATACTTCAGGAAAGGAGGGGTGGCGTTATGACCCCATAAAAATTGGTAGGAGACTTTTGTAAAGAGAACAAAGATCTTTTGCAAAATGACAACTAGTGAGTAGAAAACGTAAGCCCACAGAGCATGGCAGGTTAGTGATTAGTCCTGCAGAAGACAAAGAAGAGAGAATTTGAGGACCGCCTTGTTAAAGACTCTAAAGTGAGAGGCTCTTCCCTTCTCCAGGAAGGGCTGACAGAGAATTGTGGATCATCCAGTGACCCTGGCGCAAAAAGCACTTCAACAAGACGTAGTGTGAGCGAATTCTCCTTAATAGAGGGCAGGCATCAAAAGCCATTTCTCTGAGTTACTTGTTTGCATCCACCCCTCCCCCCAGAATTTTCTCCTGCAACTCTCCCTTTGTCTTTCTCCATTCTGTCATGTATTTACCCTAAAAAACTTTATTTTTCAGACCATTGCCTTGTCTGCTTATCTTACTTGGGCATCTCTTTGATTTTAAGATATAGAAGTTTTTGTTTTAATTTTTGAAAGTGGTTTTAAATATAGATATTTGTGTCTGGGGAAAAAAAAGACCTAAACATGTCAAAATATTAATAGTGGTTAACTCTGGGCATTTGGTTTATAGATAATTTTATTTTCCCTCAGTGTTGCCAGACCCCTGCTTTAAATCATTTTGTTAGATTATCCAGTGAGCCAAGGTCCCGGGCAAACAAAGATACTCCTATCAGTTATGACATACATGGGGCTTAGAGGGTACCTTGCAGAAGTGACAACTAAATGCAGACCTCTCTGGCGGGGCGGGGGGGGGGGGGGTCGAATTCTGCGGTGTATACTTATCTCAACTTTAAAACCACCCTGTGATACTTGTCATGTCACTAGGATGTAACGGACTCTGGGATCAGACCCAGTTCATGACTTCAGATCCTGAGCTCCTAACTTCCTGTTTAATCTTTCTGTTTAATCAGTAACCTTCATGCCACATGGCTCCATAACATAGTCTATAGTTATGAGCAGATTTCGTGAGCAAATTTTCTAGGGCAGAATCAGGTTCATATCTGTTAGTACATATATAACTCAAGAAAGGTCTAGAAACTTACAACCTAAGATATAAACTCATAAATATATTAAGGTAGAGTTTATTGCAAATAACTCCTTTTATAGTCATTCTTGATGGGAGTCAAATTGCAGACAAGGAAAGACTAATAAGTTTTTATAGAATTGAGTCAAGGAAGTTATATCTTTAGTAAGATGTAAAATAGTTATTTTTACCTTGTTGTAAGTACACAATTGTAAAGTAGACCAAAAATAAAATCATAGATTTCACTTGCTTCCTAGACCTTCTTATCTGAATTCTGTCTTTTGGTCGATTACTTAAAAAGCAGCTCTTTTAAGTTGCATACTGGTTTAGTTACCTTAGTGTTTAAAATACTCTTCTTGTAAAAAGTTCTTAATGTTTAAGGATGTAGTATATTAAAAATGTTTAGAAGTAAATGTATATAATTTTTAAATGAGATAAAGTGAAAAAGAAAAGGTAGCAGAGTCCATAAAAATTCTACTCACTGTTATCATCCTAGTGAATACAAACTAATTTTTCCACTATCAGCTAAATAATTGCTTCAAATAGGTTTTCTTTCATCCATAGAAGGCCGTGTTTCCTTGTTTTTCCCCCTGTGTATATTATAGGCATTGCCTTTATAAAGAGAGCTGAGTTAGCTTTTAGATGAGTCTAGCTTTTAACTAAACTACTTAGGTTTTTAAAAAATATCTTTATTTGTCAATATTCAGTACATTCAATATTATTTTGTATTAGATTCAGGTATACAGCATAGTAGTTAGACATGAACCAATTATGTTTTCATGTAAAGGTATTCAGTGTTTTGGGTGTGTCTCTTCTGCTTCTTTCCAGTCAGAAACCCTTACACAGGACATAAATACCTCTGTGGAGCTTTACAGTCTGGAATTGTTTTACTTCAGTGGTATGAGCCAATGCAGAAATTCATGTTGATAAAGGTACATTACATTTTTCTCCTATAGAAAAAACTAGTGTGTAAATTAAAGTTAAAATTTTAAGATTTCATTGCTACTATGTAGTGTCGGCATGTTTAGTTATTTATACTAGGTCTTCATTTGGTTTAACAGTTTTTTTGTTCTTAAGATTTCCTCTTTAACTTATATTAATAAGCTTTCAGAAGCATCACAGACATAAAGCTGAATGTATCCAGTTCTCTAAAACATATTTTATAGATTTTTATGATGCTTATCATGATCATTTTTAAATTAGATCGATCAAGAAAATGAAAGCCTTTCCTTTGACTTTACTCAGCAACAGTATGAATAGGGATGGCTTCTAAATTACACTTCTCTTGTTTGTTTATTTTAGCACTTTGATTTTCCTCTGCCAAGTCCTTTGAATGTTTTTGAAATGCTGGTAATACCTGAACAGGAATACCCTATGGTCTGTGTAGCTATTAGCAAGGGCACTGAATCAAATCAGGTAGTTCAGTTTGAGACAATCAATTTGAATTCTGCATCTTCGTGGTTTACAGAAATCGGTGCCGGTAAGTGTTTTTTATCTTATGTTAAATAAAATGTTGATGGTTTTGTGTATGAAAGAAGCAGAATGGTTTCAACCAGTGCAGGCTTAGTCAAATAAACACTCAGGTCACAGCTTTCCATGTAAGCCCAGAGGATCATATGCATATAGTTTATGATCTCTGTCTGCTTAAGGCAATTTGATACAAATTATTTTACCAAGGAAAATTTTAATGATTTAAGTTTTCTAAGATACGGGGGTAAGGAAAAGTAGGTTTGCAGTTGTGAGTACTTGAAACAGAGTTTTTTTCTTGTATTAATATTTAATTCAGGTTTTTTTTCTGTCCAAACAACTGTAAACCTACTTTTGCCCACCCCTATATTTTTCAAATTTGATCAGCTTCTCAAGCAAAGAGCTTTATTTTTTTTTTTCTGTAAGTTTTTCCCTTGACAATTCTTAGAATCATTTAGTTCAAGTGCTTTTCACATGTGGCCTCCAAGCTTTACCACTTAAAGATACAGGGATATATCTCTTACACTTTCTGGGAATGGTTCATTAGCTTAGGATTTTATCAGATGTGTCTTAATGAAAGTTCAGAAAAGGTTGAGAAGTTTATTTTCAAGCTTTAAAATTGGGACAAATCAATCAATTTGTTTTTTAAATCTATATAGTGAAATGAATGGGGGGTATATTATTTGAAATGAAGATAGTATATTATTTGATCATTTGTAACCCAAAGTTTATGAAGACATTTTTGCATAAGAAGTCAGGCAAGTTTTATATACAGCTATTTCACTACTGACTTACCTTATAGAGAAGTCTGTTACAAGTATCATAAGGTTGATGTTTCTTATTAAATATCTTTAGCTTTTGATTATAGGCTAAAAGACAAGAACTCTTCATACAGTTCAGCTACTGAAGTTAATGTAGAACCACTAATGTCACTTTCAGAATAAGAATCAATATGAACTAGTGGTATCCTGGTGAATAATTAACAATAGGCTCTTGGGGCGCAGAGAAACCTGGTTTGTAGCAGTTGCCTATTTCTGTGGTGTTAAGTACTCCCGCCCCAGTTTCAAACTACCGACCTGAGGTCATCTGGCTTACAAAATTTCTAAAAATGTAAAGACCAAATATAAGCCAGTTAGAGTAGGCACTGGACTATGTCACTCTCTTTATGGACCAAGTCATAATTTCCAGTACAATAAAATTGGAATGTATTCTGTACACTCCTACCTTCACCTGTACCCCACATTTCTTTTTAATTTATTGTTTAATACTTTTGGTTGAGTTGGACGCATATCCTCCTAGCATAGCTAACAGGAGGGTACAAATGACATTGTTTTAGTATCATGAGATATACCGTATTTGCCATGTACAGTGTGCATGGCTGTGTGCTCCTGTGTATAATGAGCACCCACGTTTTGGTGCACATTATACATGGGATTATTATGCCCACAGTATGTACTCATTATACCCATGTATAATGCACATCCTTATTTTTCACTAAAAAATTTGGGTGAAAAAGTACGCATAATATACAGCAAAATATGGTAAGTAGTCCACATAGAAATATATTCCTATTATATAATTACTGCCAAAAAGAAGTAATATATATATCAATCATTTTGGCAGAGAGTCCCAACTTTTTTTTTACTGTTTAGTATGTAATAATAATATAAAGCAAGTCATTTCATACAGTTTTCTAATGTATGCCTGCAGCTTTCTTCTGTATGATATACAAGGGAGGACCCCCCAAAACACAGTTATCTTCTGGAGGACAGGCCCCTTGTTGTATAGGCTTCCCCTACTGGGTGAGTGTTCTAGGAACCCATCTGTACCAGTGTACCAGATGGCATTGTTGTGAGGTTGCGTTTGGCTTTAGTGGATTTTTTTTTGAAGACTCAGTGCATTTGCCCATTTCATGATGGGCAATTTATAAGTGCATCTGCCAAAACCATGCTGAGAGTTCTGCAGTTTTTGACCCAAAACAGCATGACCCCTGTGTACCACCCTACCTATTCACCTGACCTCACCCCAAGCAACTTTTTTTCCCCCAATGAAAAAAGTTCTCAAAGGGAAATATTTTGCCAATGTGGAAGAGGTGAAACAAAAAATGGCCAAAGCACTAAAAGACATGAAAATTGATGAGTTAGTTCAAAAACTGTTTTGAGCAAGTTTACATCTCAATAGGTGTATTGCATCAAACAGAGAGTACTTGGAAGGTGACTGGAAATTAAACCTGTAAGAATAAATATGATTTTTTAAAGATTTTATTTATTTTTTAGGGAGGGAAGGAAGGGAGATGAGAGAAAGAGAGAGAGAGACAGAGACAGAGACATCAATGTGCAGTTGCTGGGGGTTATGGCCTGCAACCCAGGACCCTGGCTGGGAATCGAACCTGGGACACTTTGGTTCCCAGCCCGTGCTCAATCCACTGAGCTACGCCAGCCAGGGCGAATAAATATGATTTTTTATAAATTCCAGTTTTGGGGGTCCCCCTTGTATTAGGTTACATTGCTCAAGGCTAGACATTCAGTCCTCTTATGAAATTTGGGGCTAGGGGTCTTAAAGGGATTTTTCCTTTTTTTAAAATCCCTATACTGTCTAACCACTTAGAACATTTACTAAGCTAAAAATAATGCAAAACCAAAATTGCTTCCTAAGGAAAAGAGATTACCCTCAGAGGTTGTCCTTATTAGGCTTCTCCATTTTCACCAGTGATTGTTAATCGACCTCCCAGCTGTGTTCATTGTTGAGCACTGCTGCCCACCCCCTCTTTAGTGGGCAACAGTTGTTAACAGTTAAAATGAACTCTATTCCAAGTACATTGTCAGCACTCCATAAATATTTGTTGAATAAATACATGAACATCTATTTACTGAGAAAAACTATGTTTGGAGTGTCATCCAAGGGCCCAACAGTTTTATAACTTCTATTGATCTGAATTCTTCTCTATGTTATGTGCATTAGAAGATCCAAAACCACCCCAAAATAATATGTAAAACTTTGTGCTTATGTTTAGATGTACAGTTTTTAAGGGAGAGGATTCATGGGCTCCAAAATAAATGCAGTTAAGAATGACTGCTCTAAATAATCTAAAATCTTAGATTTAGCTAGACCATTCAGGCAATCTGAGTGCCTGAAATGAATTGTTTTGCCAAAAATGTTTTGCAGAAATGTCATCACACATATATATACAAAAATGCCATCACATCTGACACAGATGTTAAAAGAAGCAGCTTTGCAAATATCAGCAAAGTAATGAAAGTTGCTTCCTACAAAAAGCTATTGTTGACAGAATGGTTCATTATATCACTCAGTGTCCTCTTCAGAAAGGAACTCCCACCTACCCACACACACCCCCCAACACCGGGAAAATATCTCTCTGATTACAGTTTTATTAATTTTGTTTTTGCTTTTTTTCAAGTACTGGCTTGTTTTTATCTCAAGGATGCTGTGATTCACCTAACTGATCTTGTTTTCATCTTTCTATTGGTTACTGTAAAATGTAGCACAAAATCTAGTCATTTTATAGCATGCATCTTTCTTTTCTGTATTTACCCTTTGCTTCATTTTATTTTTGTAACTCACCCTTCTAGAACTAGCTACGGTGTTAATTAACTATAATATTGAGCTTTTCTCAGGTCATTTAACCATGCTTAAGACTTAATGTTTGTTCTCCTAAGTTGACCCACAGACATTTTTTGAAAAAATAATATATCATTATAAAATACAGTTTCTGTGTTAAATTTCAAAAGCTAGTTTTAAATCACAGAAAAGGTCAGCATTTGTGTTTTTTTTAAGCACTAGTTTTTAAAGCATGTTGTTTAACTGTAACATTGTTTCCCCTGCCCCCCACCCCCGCAGGCAGCCAACAGTTAGATTCCATTCATGTAACACAGTTGGAGAGAGATACCGTTTTAGTGTGTTTAGACAGTAAGTACTATTTAAAATTTACTCTGAGTTTACTACTTGATATAGCAAATCTTTTTATGGAAGTGATTCTATTAAACTGTAATTCAACATTTTCATTTTTTTCATCTCAAGTGGCTTTGTTTTATTGATGAAAAACCTAAAATGGCTACAGGTATAGTAAGTAGTAATTGATCTACTTACTATAATTGATTCTCTGTGACTTTTTCTTTGGCCTACTTGGAAACACTCTATAAGAACATTTTGTCATAACCTTGGGGTTAAATTCTATATGAAACTGTTTGTATAAAATTCTGTGTAAAACTACTCTCGAGTTTTTTCCATACCTCATAATTAATAGAAAAATGGATGGTATATAGTCATGTACCACTTAACAGGGATACTCAATTCTAAGAAATGTGTCATTAGTCCGTTTTGTCATTGTGGGAACATCATAAGAGTGCACTTGCACAGAGCTAGGTGGTATAGCCTACTACACACGCAGGTTATTATGGCATAGCCTGTTGCTTCTAGGTTACAAACCTGTATAGTGTACTGTACAGCATGATATTAAATCAAGCAGAAGAGAAAATGATACAGTCAAGAAATGCTATAAACATCAGATGTATGTGGCTGCTGCCAGCATAACACAGCATGATGTTCTACAGAAAAGAGTTTTTGTGTAAATAGAAAGAGTACGCTAAAACAACAGTAAAAAACACAGTATAGTAGATACATAAACCAGTAATGGCGATTTATTATTATTGTCAAGTATTATGTGCTACATATAGTTGAATGTGCTATACTTTTACATGACTGACAGCACGTAGGTCTGTTTATACCTCCGTCACCACACACATGTGAGTCACGTGTTGCACTACAGTGTTATGATGGCTGCAGCTCTACCTCATAGGGATTTTTCAGCTCTGTTATAATCTCACAGGACCACATTGTGTAAGTGGTCTGTTGTTGACCAAATCATCATTATGCAGCACATAACTAAGGTCACTTGGAGTCATGTAACATGAGTTTTGGAATCATGTCAGTGAGATTTTAATGTAGATAGATTTCATTCTTTTATCTGCTCATTATGATTCTTTTGATGTAGGAAGAGGTATTGATAGAAGTGTGTTGTACTATAATCAGATAAACAGAAAACTTTTAGCAACAGATATTAGTTCAGTTTTTCGAACAAACACCTTTTATTTTTATGCAGCGAATCCTGTAAGGTGAAATTCACCTAGACTTAGAACTATACTTGAAACTTGACAGTATTTGTTGTGTTTGATCCATTACAATATTTTTTAAATTACTGAGTCTGCCAACAGGTGTTGAGTTATTTTAAAAATTGTTATACTATGGAATTTCCCTATGTTTCTATCCTAATTTCTCTTCTCTGAAGGGTACCCTAGTGGATTTACCTTATAGAATCATAAAGATCATCTAATATTAGAGATAAGTAACCCAAAACTCAAAGCGATTTCATTCACCCATCATTCCTTTTTTATTAACTAAAATGAGATCGTCAGAATTTAATTTTAATAATGTTGACTTTTAATGTTAAATCCCTAATACTTTCTGATACATCTAAGGAAAATAAATTGTGCTTAGTTTCATTTTGTTGATTTATGTATTTTATAAAAAATATTTTTTTAGCCCTGGCTGACGTAGCTCAGTGGATTGAGCGTGGGCTGGGAACCAAAGTGTCCCAGGTTCGATTCCCAGCCAGGGTACATTCCTGGGTTGCAGGCCAGAACCCCCAGCAACCACACATTGATGTTTCTCTCTCTCTCTCTCCCTCCCTCCCTCTCTCTCTCTCCCTCCCTCTCTCTCCCTCTCTCTCTCTCTCTCTCTCTCTCTCTCTCTCTCTCTCTCTCTCTCCCCCCTCCTTTCCCTCTATAAAAATAAATAAAATCTTTAAAAAAAAATAAAAATATTTTTTAACCTTTGATTAAAACTAACGTTTCCATTTCCCAATTAGTCAAGATAAATGAAAAGTTGACTTTCTTAAGATTTTTTTTTGGCCCTGGCTGGCGTAGCTCAGTGGATTGAGCGCGGGCTGGGAACCAAAGTGTCCTAGGTTCGATTCCCAGCCAGGGTACATTCCTGGGTTGCAGGCCATGACCCCCAGCAGCCACACATTGATGGTTCTCTCTCTCTCTCTCTTTCTATCTCTATCTCTATCTCTATCTCCTTCCCTTCCCTCCCTAAAAAAATAAAAAATAAAATCTTTAAAAAAAAAAAAAAGAAAATATCTCATTTAAAAAAAAAGATTTTTTTTTAAGGAGCAGTGTAAGACTTCAAAAACTAAGCATCAGCTATGCAGCATAAATCAGTTTTAGTAAGCACGAGTAGAGATAGGTCTAAAATCACAAATCACATTAGGCAGATAAGAAAGCAATACAAAGAAAGGCATCTGCCAAGTCAGAGCTAAGGTTCTTAAATTAAAAAACAAATAGATGAAAGGGAAATAAAATTATGAATAGCCCCCATCCTGGGGTTTACTTATAAAGAAATTGTGGCTCTTGAGAGTAGTAGTACTATTTATTGCCCTTTTGTTCCAGTAATACTTGTTACTAAAGTTATGAATGACTACAGATATACTTATCATATGTTATGTAATGTGTAAGAAAAAGAATTCTTACAGCTAAATATATTTAGGTACCAAGGTAGCCACTTTTAAAGAAACATTGTACTTTCTTAAAAATGAGAATATAATTGTTTGATGTATACTGTATAAAAAAGAAAAAAATAGCAGTGAAATTACCATTTATCAAAGGAGATATTCTTATAGTATAAAACATATTAATGATAATTTTTCACTTGGTATGCTTGAATCAAGATAGTTGAACTTCATTAAGAATGTTCTAGATGCATGTAAAATCCACATATCCAGTTAAATTTATTTTAACAAATTTGGATTTCCAGACTTGACTTGTGTTTTTTTGTGTTTTTTTTTTTAAGAATTTGTAAAAATTGTAAATCTACAAGGAAAACTAAAGTCAAGTAAGAAACTGGCCTCTGAACTAACTTTTGATTTTCGCATTGAGTCTGTAGGTAAGAATTTTTTTTTTTAATAGTGCTATTAGAATACTTGGGTTTTTGTTCATTCCGTACCTAGGGTTGTCTAGACCATCACTACCATATAGAAGTTTCTGTTACTAGAAATCTTCCCTGTGCTCTTAAATATAGTAGTCATTAACCACACCTGTTAGTACTTGAAACATGGCTAGTGCTACATTTTAGTTTTCATTTTAATGTAAATAGCCACATATGGCTAGTTGCTGTTGTATTGGATGGTGCAGATGCAGATGAAAATAAATCTTTTATTTCCTAAATATTTAAAAATTGAAATAATTTTTTTAATTTCTGTTTGTTGTCCCCTTTACTGTGTCAAGTAAATTATAGTTCTGTCAATTCACTGTAAATCATAAAGATATTTGCATGATATGAATAATGGCATTAACTATGTTATAATTCTTTGTCATGTAAGTTCTACTTTGTGTGTGTTGATGGTTTTGCTTTTAGGTCTATTTCTAAATTAATAACTTTTCCACAGGACTTAGAAACTAATATGCCATTTTAATTTACTTCTTTGTCAATGAGTGTTTTAGCCTGTATTACTCATTGGTTTTATGATAAAAATTCCTCATTGATTCTATGTCAGTAAGTATTCTCCCCAGGGATGATAGAACTTATGAAAAAAATGCTGCAGCTGGAAACACTGAACAGTTTATGATATGATTCTACCATAAGCCAAAAATAGTTAAAGTTGGCAATTTTTATTTGGGCCTTAAAAATATATATGTATTTTATAATTAAGTGTATATATTCTTATTTATTTATTTATCTATCTATTTTTTTTTTTCCTGTAGATATGTTCATTGACTCTAGAGAAAGAGGAAGGAAGGGTGGGGAAGGGACAGCGAGAGAGACACACACATCAATATGATAGAGAAACACTGATTGGCTGCCTCTCATATATGCCCTAACCAGGGATCAAACCTGCAATTTTTTGCGCAAGGGACAACACTCTAACCAAGCCACCCAGCCAGGGCAAATGTATATATAGGTTTTTAAATGTTTTTAATTTATTTTTTTTGTTTTTAGAGAAAGAAAAGGGAGAAAGAGAAGGAGAGAAACATCAATATGTAGTTCCCTCTCATACACCCCCTACTGGGGACCTGGCCCACAACCCAGGCATGTGCCCTGATTGGGAATTGAATTTGTGACCTATTTTAATGGTTTTTCAACTGGAGTTTTGCCCTGTCACAAAGTATATTCATCCCTCTTTGTAAATATCTTACAGAAATATAATTTGCTTATGATTGAAAATTATAATTTTTGAAGCAGAAAGCCTAAACTTTCTGTACATATCAGGACAAAAGAAATTTTAGAACTGGTTTCTTTCTCTGCATCTTTATGCCCTGGTTATTGCATTCCAGTTTCTAAGCTTTAATATTGTCAATAGATATCCTGACATGAAGATCTTTGTAGTTCTTCATTTTAACTGAAACACAGTTACCTCAACTTTTTCATATGTGTCAAATTTTTTAGGGAATTTTAATTGTTGCACAAAAGTTCATTCCTCCTAGACTAGTGTTTCTCTCTGCCAGTGAGCCTTGGAATAATCACAGTGGTCCTCCTGGGTGAAAAAGAGCATCTTTAAGTCACCTTTTAAAAATCAACCAGTAACTGAGTTTTGTATTCGTCACAGTTAGTAAAATGTGTGTGATTTGTTATTGTAAAATATTTTTATTTTTATTGAGCAAAATTATTTTTCCAAGGCATTCTTGTATTAACTTTTTACAGAGTGGGTATTCTAGTAGAAAATATAGTAAGTTTCAATCACTCTTCAATCACCATTACTAGTGTAGGGCATACAACTAACTTGCCAGCAAACAAATGTGTTCTGTCCCTTATTATTTCTCCTTTCTTTGCTGTTCCTTAATGACTCTAGCCAGAAAGGGTCCTGCTGCCTCTTCCCATTGGGGGACCTGCCCATTCTGCCTTTGAACCACTAAGTGACCCCATATGGGTGTCTCATTGGACCCAGACCTGTGGTTGGCACCATGCAGGACACAGAGATGGATAAGGCACAGCAAGAATAGGTTTCCCTCTGATACTTTCACACCACTCCAGGGGAACATGGGAGGTGGGCAGGGGGCAGAAGGGGCAATGGCATGCCACATGGTGGCCATACTGTGGAGTCACAGTCACTCTTGGATTTAAAGCCATCAGGAGAGTGGACAAGCTTGACTCAAATCTTTTAACCCAAATGTGGGCAGTGGAGCCTGCAGTGGCCAGAGCAAAGGCCCAGGATAATCCAGAGGCCTGAGGAAGTTAGACCTGGGGGCTGTAGCAGGGAATGTTGTAACTGAGAGCCCCTCCAAATAAGAATTGACTCAAAGATAAAAAATATTCAATGTGTGGTTAAATTTTGGATTAAGTAATTTTATAATAGGGAAAATGTGAACATAAATATAAGGTGCTTCTTTAATAGCTACTTCTAATTTTATACACGAGTATTTAAATAAGGATTTTTTATTCACATAGCCTATTATATATGTTTTATTATTTTATTCACCTAAGAAAAAAAAGATAGTATATATCATGTTTAAATGAATGCCTGTCACATATATCTTTGAAAACGCACATGACTCTGACTCAGTAAATTAGAGTTTAGGCATAGCCTAGCCACAAAAACATTCAGAATTAATCGTCTAGACAGTGGAATTTTGCACCAAGCATTTGGATAGCCTTATGTTATCATTGATTAAAACAGTTAAGGAAACTGTGTAGTGACTGACTTGTGCTGTATTTGAGTTTCAGTTCTCCTTTATCTTTTTTTAGTATGCCTTCAGGACAGTGTGTTGGCCTTCTGGAAACATGGAATGCAGGGTAAAAGCTTCAAATCAGATGAGGTAAGGTTTCTCAGATTACTTCCAGTGATTCCCACTAAAGATTTTAAATATTGAAATGTTCATTTTATACATTTTCTTCTTGAGCCCACATTACTATGTTTAGTGCCTTTAGTGCTATGAACTAGTAGAGCAAAATTGCCAGTATTATTGCTTCAGATGTTCAGTTTCGTATTGTAAAATTCTCAGTATTGTAAAATTTTCAGTAGCTGCAAGAAATTTGAAAATAGGCGTTTATACCATTTTACTCCTCTAATTTGTAATTTTTAAATATGGTTACTAAGCAGCCCTGGCTGGCATAGCTCAGTGGATTGAGTGCGGGCTGCAAACCAAAGTGTCGCAGCTTCCATTCCCAGTCAGGGTACATGCCTGGGTTGCAGGCCATGGCCCCCAGCAACCGCACATTGATGCTTCTCTCTCTCTGTCTTTCTCCCTCTCTCTCTCTTTCTCCCTCCCTTCCCTCTCTAAAAATAAATAAATAAAATCTTAAAAAAATATATGGTTACTAAGCTTGCTAGACTACTATAAATTTAATAAGCCTTTTTTTAATCTGGAAGTGTGTAGCTTTTTTAAATACTATATTTAAAATTCTAGGTTGACATGTATTAATTCACAGGACTAAGGAAAATCTAAGAAATTAACTCAGCAGATATTTACTGAGTACCAACTACATGCAACACACTATTATTATAGCATTGTAAGGCATAGGGAAGTATAATTACAAATGATTTCAAACCCTTTTAGTAGTATGTGTGTTCCTGGCACTTTACAAATACTATCTCTTTAAGACTTGTAGTTCAGTGGGGTTGGGTGCTAGTTGTACTCCCGTTTTTACAGGCACAGAGTGGTTAAGTAACTTGCCTGGATTTGAAGGGTCTCCAAAGATCACTTTGCTGAGATAATCAGGATTCATTTCACGCAGGAGATGAGAACTTGGTCTCCCATCTTGACAGATAAATCCTAACAGGGCAATATTAACAGACATTTCCCATTTGTGTAAGTACCTGTATAATTCTCGTGTGCTGTGGCCTCACAAATATGCAGACTTATTTAAAGCTTCAAGTCTCTTATTTGAGTTACCTGTAGTTTTATCCACACTCTTATTCACGTGTAATTGAGTATTTTTACCTCTTGTATGAATGAGGAATTAGAAAGCTTCCAAGAGAAAATGACATAATTCTCTCTCTTTGAGTATGTCAGTTTATCTCGTTACTGACCCATGTCACTAAATGTCACCAGGTCCCTGCATTTAATGAAGGGACCTGGTGACATTTACTGCCCTACTTACTGTCATAATACTAACTTTCCTTAGTTGCTTTCATTGTATCGCTCCTTTAGTTAGAAATCCATAGAAGATACCTGTTTTCACCATATCAAGTACAAATGGTATTTCCAGTTTTTAACTCACCTTGCTTTACCTCTTTCTCTCTCCTTCGTTCTCACACTTCAGTTTGGGCTTGCTGTGATGTTGTTAAAGTAATATTTATCCATTCCAGTCCCTAATGATTGGAACATTTCTGAACTTAAGACTCAGACAATTACTCTATCTAGAATAGCACCGAATTTATTTTCTGATTGAAGTTTATTAATTCTATCTTCCCAGCTAGATTACAAATTCATCAATAACAGACTATATTTATATTTCTTTTATATCCACAGTGTCATAGTTTGGATTCCTCCAAAAGTGCAGGCAGTTTATTTGGGAGGAGATCCCCAAACACAAGTGATGGAGTGAGGAATGTAGGGAGCTGGAGAGAGGCAAAAATCCAGTAAAGAGCACAATAATAAACTGGTCCCCACTATGGGCAGCCAGGGATTAATCCCGTACCGACCACTGAGGAACAGTGTACAGTACACCTCAGAATTGACTTATTTGAAAGTAGGGAATCTGATGCATTTAGAAACTCACTGCCATCCCTCTTGATTAAGGCTTGCTCCTGGAAGTATAAACTCCCCACATATCAGTATAGTACCTGTGGCTGGCTGGCTGAGTGCCTTCTACAGCTTTGTAGAAGGCGAAGCAGAGGACCACAGATGTGCTGGTATATGACACTGGCACATGGGAGTGTTCACCGCAGCTCTGCTGAAATCTGCACTGTGACATATAGGAAAGAGCAGGGGCCCTGCAGTCCTATATGCAGGGTCTGTCAGTTACATAAGATGGCATCTCTTCCTGGCATGTTACCTGCTATTAACTATTACTGTATAAATCCAACAGAATATGCACTCCCTGGTATTTGCTTTTATGTCAGAAACTATTTGACTCAGTTTCTGCGTTAAGTCTAAATTAGAAGCAATTATGTGGGTCTCCATGGTTAAAATGAAAGATAAATTCCAGAACCATGCCGTCTTATGAAAACTGGGTCTACCAAATCTTGGTTCTACCAGTTACATAATATTAAGCAACTTACTTAACATCTGTCTTCAGTTTGCTTGTTTTTTCCACCAGTAATATGGGAATTATAACACAAGGAGCTCTTCTAGGGAAAGTGCCTGACCCAAATAGGTGTTTCATAAATGCGGTTTTATTTCTACCAATAGAGGATCAAAAAATACTTCCTGAAATATATTTCATTTGAGGAACTGAGTCATATCAGAAATTATCATTATTTAATAATTGCTCTACCTGGATGATTTTTAAACTGTTATTTAAATAACATGGCGACAAATATATTATTAATAGATATTTTCTCTTATAGGTTACCCAGGAGATTTCAGATGAAACAAGAGTTTTCCGCTTATTAGGATCAGACAGGTAAATAATGTGGTTGTTTTAATTACCACAGGAGTTTTGGTGGTTGTGTTCTTAATTATACTGTCAGACAAAACTCTTAGAGGATTTCTCATAATTTTATTGAAAGAGAGAATAATATTTTAATTAGTTCATTAAGCAGTCTCTTGTCTGTGGAAGGATCTTGATCCTAGAGATAGTTATACTGAGCCAAGACCAAACATGTTAATTTAGGCGTTATGTCCCTAGTACCATGACATATTTCAGGCTCCTTTGATTTCATCATTTCTTCCTGGCATATTGCCTGCTATTAACTATTATTATATAAATCTAACAGAATATGCACCCTCTGGTATTTGACTTTATATCAGAAACTATTTGACTCAGTTTCTGAGTTAAGTCTAAATTAGAAGCAATTATGTGGGTCTCCATGATCAAAATGAAAGACAAATTCCAGAACTGTGCCATCTTATGAAAAAATTTAGTAGTTTTTGTTCCCCAAAGTCTATATTGTTTCCTTCTACAACTAATAAAAATAGCTGTTCCTTTCTGTTTTCTCACTCAAAATTGTTGCTGCAGCAAAATTGACTATAGTTATATGCATTAGTCCTAGGGCAAGGATTGAGAACCTCTGGTCTTCAAGTTCAGTCTGGTCACAAAATAATTGCTTAAATATTAGACACTTCAGGAAAGGAGGGGTGGCGTTATGACCCCATAAAAATTGGTAGGAGACTTTTGTAAAGAGAACAAAGATCTTTTGCAAAATGACAACTAGTGAGTAGAAAACGTAAGCCCACAGAGCATGGCAGGTTAGTGATTGATTAGTCCTGCAGAAGACAAAGAAGAGAGAATTTGAGGACCGCCTTGTTAAAGACTCTAAAGTGAGAGGCTCTTCCCTTCTCCAGGAAGGGCTGACAGAGAATTGTGGATCATCCAGTGACCCTGGCGCAAAAAGCACTTCAACAAGACGTAGTGTGAGCGAATTCTCCTTAATAGAGGGCAGGCATCAAAAGCCATTTCTCTGAGTTACTTGTTTGCATCCACCCCTCCCCCCAGAATTTTCTCCTGCAACTCTCCCTTTGTCTTTCTCCATTCTGTCATGTATTTACCCTAAAAAACTTTATTTTTCAGACCATTGCCTTGTCTGCTTATCTTACTTGGGCATCTCTTTGATTTTAAGATAACAGAAGTTTTTGTTTTCTCTTAATTTTTGAAAGTAGTTTTAAATATAGATATTTGTGTCTAGAAAAAAAGACTTAAGTATGTCAAAATATTAATAACAGTTAAATTAACTCTGGGCAGTTGGATTATAATTTTATTTTGCACTTCTACTTTTCTATAATACATTATATAAAGTACATATTTTTATTGTTTTCATCATGAAAATAATAATATGCTAGTTGTAGAAAACTCATACACTGGAAAAATATGAAGTGTTTATGAGTTTTCCCCTCCAAGACTTTTTTCTCTGTATGGATACATTAGTTTTTATTCTGTTCACAAACCCTCAAGTACAGTGTAAATCCGATGGTATGGTACTTTATCGATTTTTCTTCCTGTGGATCCCTTGATTGAACTTTTCCCCTCCCTTGTTCTGTGGACAAAGGAGTTGGATCCCACTTCGTGCGTTTTTCAACTTTTTTTTTTTTTTCCAAATACCTTGAAGAACAGTTTGAATGGGTGTCCTTAGAGATCTTGTTTTATTCACTCAGCTCTTCTTCTACATCCATCTTAATGTATATTCTAAAGCTATTAATAGCTTTATTGGCATATGAATAAGCCAGCTTGCTTAGTTGAAATAAGAAACTAAGACTGTCCTGAAATGTTTTTAGTATTTTATATTCATAAGTTAATCAATTCTTACTCAATTTTGTTTTTAAGCTATAAAATGTAAAGCAGAAATTGATGTACAGCTGTAATTTTTATGTAATCTTATGAAAATGTAAACAGTGATATTCTTTCCTGGTTTGATGTTAGTATCTGAAGCATGCAATGTCTGTTTTTACTCTTACACATACCTTTTGTTTTGGTTCAACTGCAGGGTTGTCGTTTTGGAAAGCAGGCCAACAGAAAATCCTACCGCACACAGCAATCTTTACATCTTGGCTGGACATGAAAATAGTTACTAAGCAACAGAAACTGATCTCAGACAACAGGAAAATGAATATATTCCATGGAAAGCAAAAAAATCTTAAGGAAATTCAGCACAACTACACCATGATTTGCTTTGACTCTTATGGGAAACATCTCAAATGATCTGTACTTCAAGGTAGAATTCAATGTTTTCTGTAGCTGGAAACAGCTGTTTTATCTCTTGCCACTGTGTGGTGGTTATATCAAGTTTGCTTAATAAAAGCTATGAGATAAATAGTCCTATAGTTCCAGGAATCCCAGTCTTTTTTAAAAAAATAATGTTTGTAACAAGGGTGCCATGAAATTTTTAGATAACTCATGTGATTATCTTCAGAGATAAATTTAGTGGCAGTTTTCTCATTTTATACCATGTTTTATTTCTTCTTAATGAACATAATTTGTAAAGAAATTACCAAATAAGCCTTTCACTTTTACATTGGCCATTCTGTATCATTTTGTAAAATAGAATATTTAATCCTTATTTATTAATCTCTTGCTGGAGTGGTGTAATGTATCTAACTTTTAGCAAAGGAGGGTTGCAGAGCAGCTTAAATGTTTTTATAATGTATAAAAATTTTGTTTACCTTTTAAGAGTAGTAAGAGGGGTTAAAGGCAGTGCGTTTGGAGGTTTGTTACATACATGCAATTTTAACACAAATATTTTATAAAACAATATTATCCATAATTGCCTTAAAGGGAGTATTGTGTTTTCAACTACAAATGGCTTTAGCGGGTCATACAGAAGATACTGATGATGGTAGAAACATGGTTAGAAGAGATATGTGTGTGTCTAGATGTGACTACCATGTGTATGTGTTCTTGACAAGCAGTATAATATACCTGTGATTTTTTTTTACATTAGGGATAATGCATAAGAAATTAATCTCCATATATATTGTCATCCCTAATGTAGGGGGTGAAACTATTTAACTGCCCATGATATGTAATTTGCATATATTATACCAGAGGGGATACTGTAAAGCAACTACACATGTAATCTTGGGTTTTTCACATATGTAGGTATTCATTTTGAGTAGGTTTAAGAAAAAAAGTTTTTAATGAAATTGAATTCCTGATGGGATAGTATAAAAAAGTATTGTAAAAACCAGTATTCTAAAAATAGGAAATAATAAGGCCGTTTTTGAGTTTGCTTCTCTTTTGCTATTGTTAGTATCCAAAATTGAAGTGTCACATTGGTACTTATTGTCTTAGTGCATTCATTGAGGACAGTTAGCATTGAGATCATGAATAAGGGGTTGGCAATAGCAACCTATAGATTTATTTTGAGCAAATTACTTGAGAGGAAAACAGTGTAACTCTCATTTGGCCTTTAGCAATTTTCAGATGAGGAAATAAGAGGTTAGCAAGGTTAAGAGACCCAATTCACACAGCAAGTTAGTGGTTGAGCCAGACCATGAGTCTTGTGACTCTGTTCTTTCCGCTATGCAGTATGCAAACAATAAAATGTTATGCAAATAAAGTATTGTCCTTTAAAAGTGTACATACAATATGATTTCAGTGTGTGTGTTTGTTTATTTGGGGTATGTTAAATGGGTCCTTGGGATAGAAGGATACTGGGTGTAATAGATGGCAAGGACCACACCCAAAACAGGAAATATTTACATACTAGATATAAAAACCAGCATCCTTCTCTCACTGAATCCTGGCAACCAGATCTTCCCATTCTACCAATATTGGAAGATGCTTTCCTGTGCAGGCTGGCCCATGCAAGTGGAAAGGCCTACATAGACCTGAATCAAAGGTGTCCTGGCTAAACTACTCAGCTAGGTAACTCTACAGTGAAAATCATAGTTGACAAGCCCCCACAACCCCGTGCATCCAGAGCTTGCAGAGCTTTTAGTCCTACACTAGTAAAAATGATTAAACAACCAGGAGTTATAAAACATCTGAGGAAAGCCTCTAATATTAAAGAGAAAAAAACAATTGAGGAAAAAAGCACTTAGAGGACACAGACCGTACAGTGTAAAAATGTCAAGAAAAAAATATCTTCAGAAAAATGTTACAACTATGAATCAAGAGTAGAATACTGAAAAAAGGAGATTTGGCCAATAGACATATGAAAAGATGTTCAATGTCCCTAATCATCAGAGAAACACAAATTAAAACCACAATGAAGTATCACCTCACGCTTGTCAGAATGGCTATCATCAATAAATCAACAAGTGCTGGTGAGGATGTGGAGAAAGGGGAAGCCTTTTGCACTGTTGGTGGGAATGCAGACTGGTGTAGCCACTGTGGAAAGCAGTATGGAGGTACCTCAAAAAATTTAAAAAGTATCTGCCTTAATAACCCAGCAATTCCACTTAAGGGAATTTATCCAAAGAAATGCTAAACAATAATTCAAAATAATATATGCATCCCATGTTCATTACAGTGCCATTTACAATAGCCAAGATTTGGAAGCAGCCCGAGTGTCCATCAGTAGATGAATGGGTAAAACAGCGGTGGTACATTTACACAGTAGAATACTACTTGGCTATAAAAAAGAAGAAAATTGTGCCCTTTGCAATACATGGATGGACCTGGAGAACATTATGCTAAGTGAAATAAGCCAGTCAGAGAAAGACAAATACCATATGATTTCACTCGTGGAAGCTAATGAACAAATTGAACTAACAAGCAAAACAAAAACACTCATAAATACAGAGCAGGCTGACAGCTTGGTGGCTGAGGGTGGAGGGATGAAGCAAAAAAAAAAAGTGGACACAGACAGCTGGTGACTAGGGGGTGGAGGTGGAAGAGGGTGTTGGGGGATACGTGGTAATGGAGAAATATGATAAAAATGAACTTGAAAAATAAATACAAAACAAAGTTCTAAGGAAATGTGATAGCATATTTGAATAATTGAACAGAGGTTTGGGATATAAAGTTGGAATTTCTCAGAAAATCAAGTGAAATGGAAATATTGGAGAAAAAAATTATAATAGCCCAGGGGGCCCAATATCTATCTCTCAGAGATCCAAAAAGAAGGGGCAATAAATCAGAGCATTTCAAGAAATTTTTCCAGTACTGAAGAGCTTTAGATGAGATTCTAAGTTGAAGGAACACTGGATAGAAAAAATAACAGATCCTACACTGAAACACATCATATGAGATTTCAGGGACATGGGTCAGAGAGAAGATCTGCTATGTTTCCAAAGAAAAAGGGCAGGGCAAATACCAAAGAATAAGAATCAAAATAACTTTGAATTTCAACAGAAGTGTGACAGGGTGGAGCCAACCCCCCATAGAGATTTGTAATGGGGTCCAGAACTGAGGGTGTCCAGGAAATATTTTTAAAAATACGGGATGTCCTCAACCCTACATCTGAACTTGGGAATGGGACACGTGGAGCAGGACCATTGAGAGCTGTTCTGCATAGCACCAGTTTTGCAACTAACCTCAGGCATGGTCATTTAACATATCTATAACTTTTAACTGGCTTCATAGATATGTTAAAAAGCTGTGGCCATGCTTTGAGCCAGGGAGATGGGAGTGACTTGAACCCATGACTCAACTGGGAGGCAACTCCCCTGGGTTACAGCGCCCACGTAAGAGCTTAGAAGATTGGCTCCACACCACGGAGCTACGCAATCCCAGACTTATGGCAGCCCAGGAAAGCTGACAGGTGTAGCCAATTGTGGGAGGAGTTGGAAATGGGACTGCAGAGGAAGATTGGCACTGGTATTTAAACCCAGGCACCGCAGCCATGCTACAGAGGGGGATTATTTGGGTTTGGCAAGAGGGGGCACCACATGGCTTTGGGGGCTCCCTTTGCCATGCAGCTTAGGAAGCTGGAAAACAAGATGTAGCAGCAATGCAGAGTTCTGTCTTAGCAGTTTGGAAGAATACAGGAGAAATGCTGCAGGAAGGAAAGGGGTGAAAGGACTCTTGCTGGTGGGCCAGAAGAAGGTGCCACATGGGTTTAGATTAACTGAAGATCGTGGGGGCAACACAGCTGATGGTACTGGGAACCAAGGGAGACCTGCCAGCTGATCACAGATTACTGGGAACCCAGAGCTACCTGAGCCACGGACTTCTATTTGTTTTCCTGAGATATGGTACCTCGGACTGGGCAGAGGGGGAAAGGAAGGTCTGTGTTCATTTGTGGGTGTTTTAAGGGACTTTGGGATTTTAATGAAGACATTAATGAAGTCATTACTCCTAAATCTGTATAACTTTTAAATAAATCCTTTTCACTAATCTCAGACATTGAAAGCTATAATTACCTGGCAGCGGGCAAGGTGAACTAGTACAGGGGGACCCCAGGAGAAGGGGGGTCCATTCGGTAATAGTATATTGTCCCCCACTCCATGGGTCTGTTCTGTAACCAAAGCAGTGCCTTCGAAATTCTGAGAGAAATTTTCAACCTAAAATTCTGGATCCAAATAATGATTAATCAAACCTAAGGGTAAAATGAAAACATTTTTAATTGTGCAAGGTCTCAAAACCTTTTACCTTCCACATACACAGCCTTCCCCAAGTAGAGGAAAGTTGAAAGAGTCAGGGATAAATCTGAGCTTATATTCATTGCCTCTGTGGCCAAAGTCAGGCAGGTGGAGCGGATGTTCGTCAAGCCTCCAGGGTTCAATCAGTGGTGATACTGTTTCTAAGCAAAAACTTAGATCTAAGACTGAAATGAAACAAAAACTGGCATTTATTACCTCCAGGAAGGCAAAATGTATTAGAAAAGAAAAAGTAAACAGTGGTTGAATGGTGTCATATTAAGAGTAAATATTGGTCTAATAAAAATAGCAGCATAATTATATTGGGAGAGGACGTGGTGTTTTGTAGGTGAGGTGGAAGTTATCTCAAATCTTCATCTTCCACAGTGGAAATTCAATGGGTAATACTTAAGAAGTAAAAATCAAGAAGTAGCTCTTCTAGCTTATGCCAAGCCATGGGCATCTCTTGGGACAACTGGCACAAGTGCTGTAAGACCGAGGGTAAGAGTAAGACAAGGGTGAAAAGATGAGCTGGGACACCCTGCTGTTAACATTAAGATTGGCCACAATCTTACCGCACACACACAGTCTGTGTGTGGGGAGACAAAGAGAAATACCATTTCTTAAGGCTGGACCTGGGCAGCCAACCTCTCTTGGGACTCCTGTTGTTCATGCAAAATGAGGATTATTGATGCCTACAATGCACCCAACAGCAAACTGGTCCACACCAAGCCCTGAGTAAAGAACTGCATCGTGCTCACTGAGAGCACACCGTACCAACGCTGGTAGGAGTCCCACTATGCACTGCACCTGGGCTACAAGAAGGGGGCCAAGCTGACGTCTGAGGAGGAAGAGATTTTAAACAAAAAGTGATCAAAAAAATTTGAAAGAAATGAAAAGAGAAAGAATGCCACAATCAGCAATCTTCTAGAGGAAAAATTCTAGCTGACAAGCTTCATGCGTGCATCGCTCCAAGACCAGGCCAGTGTGGCCACACAGGTGACCATGTGCTGGAGCGTAAGGAGCTGGAGTCCTAGCTGAGGAAAACTGAGTCCCAGAAAGGCAAATAAATCCTCCTCCCTCCTATCTTAGCTCATGTAATAAACATGTTTATTCAAAAAAATCAAGAATACCTTATTTAGTGACAAGGAAATAAAATGATCAGCTAGAAGAAGGAAAAGTTGCGTTTTGGGAAGTGAGAAATGGGGGAAGGGCATGCTTTTTTTTGGTGGCAAACCTCATAGGACTAGGTATTTATGTGCATACCTACATTTGATTTCTTTCATGTAAAAAATTTTTAAGTAAAAATACATTCGTTATGTGACAAGCAGCATGAGCAAACATTAGTCCAGCTTCTCATACTGTACACATAGTAGGCAATAAATATTAATTGATGTAGTTAATGTATGCATAATGTGGAAGGAGACAAAGTAACTGGGGTGGAGGAGGGACTGGTTAAGTAAATCCAGAAGGTCTTGTAAGAGAAGGCGTTTTCATCAAACTACATTTTTTGGCTAAGCCTCCTATCCAGCCTTCTCTCCCGCTGCCCCACCAGTCACCCTGGGACACTGGCACAGAGAGGCCACGATCATTCCACCTTCATTGCTTGACTCATACTGGCTCTCCCACCCTGAAATTCTGAATTTTTACCAAAAACTTAAATCCTTTACTTCACTCAAAGCGTGTAGTTCAAGCTATAACTTTTATGTGACAGCTCTAACTACTTAACACAGACTATTTTCTGCTTTTCAGAATTTCTGTAGCACATACAGATTATACATTTCAATGTAACACTCAATTGCCACTTAGCCAAAGCACTGAGCACTTTCCACTTAACCGAAAACAACTCACTCAACAACTTCTTATCTGTTGATTGGAAATAATGGTGACTTCATTATTTGGTGTTAGGAGATTTGAGAGAGGATGTGCATTAAAGTTTCTATGATAAGAAAAAAATAGTCTCCTATATTTTTCACCAAGTAGTTTGTTAAGGGCATAATGAATACCTTTTCACTCTTTAGTTGTTCCTTTCAGTATGTTACACATTGGCAAGCTT